CCTTTAGAGGAAATTTCATAGCTTTGCATTCTGATAGCACAACATAGAGATAAAACACATAAGCCCTCACCTTCAAAAATGAGAAAAAGAATAAGTTAAATCCAATACAGAGAGATAAAATACAAAATCAGAACATGAGCTCAGCTTTAACTGACCGTGGCTTTGATTCTTCTTAAAGGTTTCGTATTTAATTATGTAGGTGCGTGTGCACCTGCCTGTGGCTTTAGGTGGCTGCGGCATCCAAAGTGTTATGCTGCAAGTGCTGACAGGAGGCTGGACACCATCAGATGTCACCGGTGCACAGGGTGACGTCGGGGGTGAGACACGGCCGTTGTCAATAATGCTTAAATGTCTCACTGCAAATCACAGGGACCCTCAGCTACTCAGAGGTCGGGTTTTTAGTCAACTGATTATTTACTTACAAGTGGGGGGGAGGGCCACGGCACACAGGTGGAAGTCGCAAGACGGCTTGCAGGAGTCAGTGATGGACCCCTTAACTCACTGAGCAGCCCAGAAGACAGCCAAGTACTCCTATTAGCTAAGCGAGGACGCTGCCACAGTTGAGTTCTACCTCATGCCCTGCATCCGGGGCCAGGACTAGATATGTTCCTGTCGATTAATTTTCATAATAAAGTAGATAGAGCCCCTTCTCTGTTGTTTTGTTTGTTTGTTTGTTTGTTTGTTTAATCCTGGAATGGCTTCTTAAAACACCGCAAAAGCAAATAGGCTCCCGACCCCTGTAACTCCAGTTCCAGAGTATCAGATGTCCCCTTCTGGTCTCCTCGGCAAACTGGGTACACAGTGGTACACAGATGTACATGGTGGCAGAACAGCCATACATTCGGTTTTTTGTTTTGTTTTTTTAATTTAATAAAAGGAGTTTGCTGGGTAGGGCTGCCTATTTAAAATCTTACACTCTGTGGATGGCTGACAGAGCCAACGCTGCCTGTAATTGCTCACCTTAACATTTTTTTTATTGGGAGTGCTGACGATGAATGTGATGTCACTGAATTGCTTTAGTGCAATTAAAAGACACGACTAAACAAGAGATAGATAGACACAAATCTATCTAAAGCTAAGTTAGGGACTTTGTCAACATACCTGAAACAGATACTGGTAATGTCCCAAAACTTCAAACAGTAATAGAAGGCAGTTCAAGGACCAGGCAAAACTCCGGCTTAATATCATCATTACACGAAGCATACAGAAATTGTATGGCTGACGCTTTTCTTTTTTTTTTTTTTTTTTTTTTAACGGATAGTACTGTGTGACTAGTCAAGACTGTGCTGCATAAGAGCCAAGGGATTAAATCGTTACTGATTCAAAGAATTCCTTAAAATTGTTGACACTCACTATGGTAACCTCACTTGCTTTTCTGAGGAAAGATGACTAAGTCAGGACCAAATGTAGAAAAGATTTTATTACTTGTGACACATTGTCACGCTGTTTATGGGTGGCATCAAAAACAAAATTTGTGCCAGAACTTGATGAAAACTGGCTTACCGACTTTTCATTTTAGTGGATTTAATGACTCGCTTCAGTGAGTTGAACATCTATCTTTAAGGTGACTCAGAAAGAGCCTGCAATGTCTGTCTCTCAGCTTACTACTCTTCAACAAGCCTCATGGTGATCAAACAGCTGCCAGCGCTACTTTTTAGGCCTTTTCCCTTCCAAGTTCAAATCCAGCAGAACAAAGTAAGTCTGTTGCCCGGTAAGTTCAAAATAAGAGACCAGGAATTGGGTTTCTTTGCTTATGTATGAGATAAAGATCAGTCCCAATAGCCAAGGTGAAGGGAGATGCTGAGAGGTTCAGCTCAGGCCTTGTACTCCAGGGCCTTTGATCTCACCGTAAGTATATAGACAGTGGGAGGGGCCTAGCTCAGCAGGCAGAACAGGCCTTTGTTACCACAGTAAGGCAGTCAATCCTAGTCAACAAGGACAGCCTATGACTGCAGTCATCATGAATCTGAAATTGTCAATATACAGATATGGATATCGAAGGCCCAAATGTTAAATTACTTGCCCTTGGTCTTTTGAAGTGGCATAGATTACTGACCCCACTCTTGTGTGTGTGACAAGGCTATAAGAATGAGTGGGTGATCCTCAGGCAAACAGGAACAAGGAGGTGTTCCAGGACCTATAAACATGAAGGAACCAAAGTACTGAGGAGCTGGCACCTCAGAGGACTTCACATTCCGTTTGACTGCTGTAGTTCATACACTAAATGCTTCCTAGAAGCCTGTGTGTTGAACTCTTGCTCTCCACCTGGATGCTATTTGAGAAGAGGTGGAAAAGCTCAAAGGGACCTAGTGGGAGGTCTCCAGGTCATTGGGGTATGCCCTTGAAGGCGCTATAGGCTTCTGTCTCTTCCTTTTTGGATTCTGGCCGTGAGGTGAGTGACTTTGCTCTCTCTACCACTACCATCGTGGCACATACCCCAAACCACAAAGGCCAATCAACCAACAGAAGGTTCTGGAAACATGGGCCTGGACACATCTTCTCTTTTTTACTAATTCAGATTTTTGTCATAACACAAACCTAAGCAATGCACCTACTTGTCAGGCAGCTGGCAAAGGAAACTATCTCGATGTCCAACAGCCCAGACTCGGCGATTTACCAGCTACGTGGCAATGGGCTCCGTGACCTGAAGCAGTGATCCCAGGCTTCACAGAATTCCTTGAGGGACACATGAGCTTGCATGTGTGATGAAGCTAGAATAACACCTGCCACACATAAGCCTGACAAATGGCCATGAGTTCTGGCGATGCCACCTGCCTGATCATTCATGGTCAGGATCATGCTAATGATTTTTATTTTTAACCCTCCAGAAAATCAAAGCAATAGAGAGATGGGCCTGCTAGGTTTTTAATTTTTCTAAAGATCATCCTGGCTGCAATATGATACAACATGGGCAGGCACAACCCCCCCCCCACTACACACACACACACACACACACACACACACACACACATATACACATACCTGTTTACCTACAAACTAGGAAGATGAATTTTCACTGGCCACCAAACCTGCCAACACCAAGGCCTTGGAGCTCCAGCCCCTCTGTGTGGTTTGAATATGGCCCCCATAGACTCATGTGCTTGAAGCTTGGCCATAGGGAGGGACACTATTAGGAAGTGTGGCCTGGTTGGAGGAAGTGTGTCACTGTGGAGGTGTTTGAGGTCTATATGCTCAAGCTATGCCCAGTGTGGCACACAGTCTCCTTCTGCTGTCTGTGGATCAAGATGTAGAATTCTCGGCTCCTCCCTCACCATGTCTGCCTGCATGCCACCATGCTTCCTGCCATGACGGCAATGGACTAAACCTCTGAACTGTAAGCCAGCCCCAATTCAATGTTTTCCTTTATAAGAGCTGCCATGGTCAGCTGGGGGTGGTGGCACACACCTTTAATCCCAGCACCTGGGGGGCAGAGGCAGGCAGATCTCTGTGAATTCCAGGCCAGCCTGATCTACAAAGAGAATCCTAGGACAGCCAGGGCTACACAGAGAAACCCTGTCTCGAAAAACCAAACCAAACCAAACAAAGAGATAGTTGCCATGGTCATGTTGTCTTTTCACAGCAATAAAGCCCTAACTACGGCACCCTAGAACTGCAGAACTGTGAGAAAAGATGGCTATTGTGGAAGCTACCGAGTTTGTGGTCTCTTGTTATGGCAGCAGCGTCAAGACACGCAGTCCACCGAGTGTGCAGTGAGCACAGGCTGCCTTTATCAGCAAGCCACCATGCAGCAACACCTCCCATCCACAGCCAGACGGTGATGGCTCTGCCACCGAAGACCTTGCCGGCTCTAACCAACCATCTCACATGGGAGACAGGCGCTTCCATCACAATGGTCCAAATGCTAACGGGGCCACCGTGTTCCCCTGTGGTCCAACCACTGCCCCTGTTTTCAGTTATGTCTACAGTTTTCAAATCTTGCTTGTGCAAGCCTGGCCATCCCAGTTCAATCCCTGCAAACTGTGTGACGCACTCACACACATATGCACACACACTTGCTGAGATCTGTGCCCAAACATGAATGAATCCTTGCATTTTCTAATGTGTCTAAAACATGCTAATTTTCTAACTAGGAAAAAAAAATAATGTATTTGAAAGGCTGCCTCGAATCACCGCTGTGGGTGGCAAAAAAAAAAAAAAAAAAAGAGTTTGGAAATAACGTAAGGATTTGTGCAGACAGGTGGTAGCAGCTAGGTTATGTTGTGCAGGTAATTTAACTGGCCTGCCCTGGGGGGATGGGGCTTTTAGGGTCCTGACAAGGTCCTAGGTCACCACCTGTGTCCTATGATGTCACCCGGACCAAGTGCTTCAGTTATAACCGTCTGCCATTCCCACCCACGAGCTCTCTTCTCTTGCTCTCTCTGCTTTCGTTTCTCTGTTGGGGCTCTGCCCTCCCCCATCTCCATCTCTCTGCCCTCAAGGTTCACTCAGGCCCTAACTCTCTTCCACTTCCCTTCTCCCGAATAAAACTCTTTCCTATCAGATGTGTTGTATGTGCATGGCATTTAAAGATAAATACTAACAAGCTGGACACTTACTTGATCCTCGCTCTGAGCTCACGCAGGGTTCTTGAAAGACTAAGAAGTAAATTCGTGTTATTGTTCTATTTTAGTTAATAAACAGGTAGTTCTAAAAGTCAATTTGTATGTACAAATATAGATATTTGTACATATATAGAATTATATATATATATATATACATATACATATATATTTGTACAAATATAGAATACAGATATTCTCTCCCTCCCTGCCTTCCTCCCTCTGCCCACTTCTATTCAGGAACCTGTTCTCTTGACCCATTCTGGGCAAGTGATGGGATATCCTGCACCCAGTGGTGAGAACAGGAAAAACGGAGTTCATGGAGCTGACACCCCGATGCCTGTGATCCAGTAGACTGTAGGAGAGAGAGCGTTGAGAAGTGACAGGGAGAAAAGAATGCCGTGTTTCCTGCACAAATTCAGATAGAAAACACCACACGACCACAGCAGTGAGGATCTTTATGCATACGTCTTTGTGAGCAGTACAGTTCTTCAGAACGAGACAAAAGAAAGGAGAGCGTTGCTCCAAACAGTTACAGCCATAGGTCGACATGACAGACTAGGTTTAGATCTAGGTCTTTTTAGAGAGGAGTGAGGTGCAGCTGGCTTCCAGGAAAGTGCTGAGAGGGGCTGCCAACATGGGTTAAGTTCTTCTGGTGTCTGCAGGCAGTGCCCGGCACAGGGGGAAGCTGGCGAGCCCACGCCCTTGGTGCATGCTGGGGAGATGGCGCTGTTAGAGTTCTTTTCCTAAGAGGCAAGGCTCAGAAGTGGACTGGCTGACGTCGTGGTGACTTGGTACGGTGCATGCACGTTATCAGCACAGAGAGCTCTGACGGGAATCTGTGGGGTGTCCTGAATTAACACGGTCATTTTTACCGCAGAAGCCATTTTCCTTTCAACTATACTCGCCCCAAACCCTGTGCTGTCTCTTCTCAAGACAAAATCGGGGAGAGTGATGGATAGAACAGCTGGTAGATGGCCTCACCGGATTACCCACCTCCTCCCTCCAAACACCCAGACCCTGGGAGGTGGGGGGGAAACAGGGAGTGGTGGAGAGAGAACCATTTTCAATTCAGGTCAGACATGGCAGGGGGTGAGGAGTAACTGGGATGAAAGAGAAAAAATGATAATGGGGTGGTCAGTTGCTATCTGAAGTTGAGCAGATAGAAGAAATTCTTTTCTTGGGCCCATCTTTGGAATACAGTGGATCCTATCACCTTTGTGTGGTATGCAAAATAAGCCTCCCCCCAACCCCACTCCCACATCCTTCGCAATAGGCAGAGGAAGGACACGGCTGTCTGTAAGAAAGCCTCCTGTTAACTTCAGATAGAACTGGAACAACTTATTAGCTTATTCCATCTTCGGGCCTTTGGAGGTGCAAACACCATGTTGGGGATAAAATGTGAGATTCCTATACAGGTTTATTTGTTTATTTATTTAAAACGGCCCATACAACTCCACTCTATCTTATTAAAAAAAAAAAAAAATGAGTACTTCTCATTGTAAAAAGCCTTCTGGGGAAACCAGGCCTGGCTTCAGGATCAGCAAACAAGCTCGCTCCGATCAACACTGCTGGCTTCAACAGTATTCCTGCAAGAACTGCCCCAAGGCTTTGAGAGATGGAGGTAAAGACTGAACTCTGGTAGTGATTGGAGATTGAGTGGAGAGCCCTTCATTCAGCCAAAGGATAGGCGCATGAAGCATTTTGAAAAGAAAACTAAGTTTTCACGATGAGGGGGTTCCGCGGCGCTTTCTGTAAACACCATTCCAGGGCTCTCTACCTTCTAGAGAATAAGCCTTTGAGTTGGAAGGCTGTGTATTGAATGGCTTCCTAGTCTTGGCTCATACACGCTCAGGTAGCCAATGGGCTCAGACAAAGAGCAGTGAGCCAGCTTATCGTACTAGAAGAAACGTGGTTAGTGCCTATGAAACACTGAAGCGCCCTTCATCTGTGGCTCAGCGTTCCTGACTGCATAGTGGAGACAAGAGGTGCTATCGCTGACCTACTGGGACCAGGGGAGGAGTGGAGTTAGAGAAAGAATGTGGGGAGAGAGCTAGGGTCTTCTCCAGAGAAAGGCAGTGTTCAAGTAACAAAGTACTCCAACCCGAAAAGCACAAAATTCGAGTAACAGAGTCACGGGAGCCATGTTCTGGCTTTGAGCGAGGCTCTGTGCCTTGGATAGAGAGAGCCGGGGCACAGCACCCAAGTCCAGGGATGCACAAGTTCCACACAGAGCCCATGAGTTCTTGAGGGAAGAAAACAAGCCTCTGGGAAGGTGGGGATCAGGAAACAGCTCAGAGAGGTTGCTTACTGCATAGCCCGTACATGTCTACACACAAGCTTCAGTGCGGCTACTCAGTTTCAACTGATTTAAAGGTTTTCTTGTCACAGGTAGAAAGAGAAAGTTAAAGAAAGGTTATCTCGACTTTTCTGCTATGCTTTAGCTCAAGAATTAAAAACTTGAAGACATGTTGTTAAAGTACACAAACGCACACATACATACATACATACACACATACACACACACACACGAATACACACACAAATTCCCTCCCCAACAGAGCAAAAAGAGGAACATGAGGAAGTTTTTGTAGCTAAGAAACTTACTTTCTACAGTTTCAGTTCTAGCAAGCTGGTGTGTTCATTCATGCTTGAGTATTCGTGATGTCCAGAGGACAGAAAGGCCAAGGAAATGTTGTTTCAGGGATCCCAAAAAGGCCCTGAGGAGGCCAGAAGAGGGCTGAACAGCCTACATATTGTCTTCTCGAAAGAGCTCACAAGGAAAACTGGGAAAAGTCCACACTTGAGAAGCACGAGATTTATTTAGTCACGAGATTCCACTTTACCAGCTAGCTACCCAGCGGATAGGGATTTGGTCCCTTCTCTGGCTCCCACCATGAAGCTTTCCAATTCCCATCTGGATGGGGCTGTCGGTGTTCAGCTCCGAATCTCTGGGTTAGTTCTCACTGGGTAAATGAAGCAGGAAGGGCGTGGCTGGCGGGCTTCCGCCAACGTGCCGCCTGAGTCCTTGAGCGGCCAGGAGGCGTCACCTCTTCTTGGTGCCACTGTTCCCAACACCCGACTTGCTGAAGCCCCTGCTCATCTGAGGGAAATGCATAGTTGGGGTTCTTTCTGTAGGGCCATATAACCCCAAATTCCTGGCCGTGGCTGACTTTCGCAGTGGCTTGACACTGGGGAAGGGGCTGAAGATGGGGGTCTTTGAGCTGCTGCCTGGGAGAGGCTTGCTGGCTGGCTGGCTTTCTCCAGGGGCATCGGCTAACTCCGGGGCATGCCGCTGGCAGGGAAGGGGCACCTCCGGCTCAGTTTCGGCGGCGGCATCCCTTTGGTTCAGTTCCAAGGCTCCTAATTTCACCTGAACAGAGGCCACGTCAACATCAGCATCCCCAAATACCGGCTCGGGAGACTGCCCTTCGATTGTCCTCAGAGCACCACCGTCACGGCTGCTGCCCTCGGCGTGAGCTGCTGCCACACAACTAGAGGAAAACTCCTCCGCTGCCCCCAGGCTGCTGGCCTTACAGCCTTCATTCTGTTCTTCTATCAGCCCGATGGTGTCCCCACAGCCTGGGTGACTCTTGGTCCTTGGCATGTTCTTTTTGTGGACTCGGATATGAGTCCGCCACGGAGAGTTGAGCTTTGTCTTAAGGTCTTCATAGGGGACAGGAGATATTTTGCCTCCTGTGTGGCCAGGGATGTGGATGACTGCGTTCTTGGATGCTCTGTTTGTAATTCTCATCTTTTTCCCTAGGAGAAGGTGATTGATCACTGGAGAACTATTTGCCTGAGATGGAAGGATGCTGGTCACTGGCCCTTTGTCTGAAAGAAAGGTTGAAAGTCTGTGTGAAACACAGCACGCAGAAGCTCGTCTACCTAAACAGCAATCTCGTGGAGATCTTACCCGAATCTTTTCCCCCACAGGCTTCCCAGGGTGCTGGCAATCATGTGACTGAAGATAGTAGAAACTGAAGCAAACCCTAGCACCCAGATGCCACGTCCTTCCTCTTCAGAGAAGAGAGCAGGGAAGGCTGGGGCTATGTTACGGTTCCAATGGGGCATATTCCCCCAAAAGGCTCCTGTATGGAAGGCGTGGCCCACAATTTCCAGTCACTGACTGCGTCAACATGATGTCAACCTAACTGATGAGAACTGTTCCTCAAGGAATTTGCAGTTGCATCAGCTATTTGGAGGTGGTAGAAGTGAGTGATGGGGGCATGCCACTGAAGGATATACCATATCCCCAGTCTCTTTCCCGAGGACTCTGCTTCCTGGTGCCAGGAGCAGCTTTTCTCTACCATGACCTTCTACTACTTTCCTCTTCTTCACTACCTCAGGCCATGCTGATAGTACCAGCCAGACACAGCCTGAAACTTCCTGTCCCACAAGCCAAAATCAACCCCGCCTTCTTTACTGTTTCTCTCAGTGATATGCTGTTATGAAAAGTCTAACACAGAACAAGGCAGGGTGGCGCATGCTTGTAATTCCAGTACTTGGGGAAGCAGAGGCAGAAAGATCTCTGTGAGTTCCAGGCCAGCCTGGTTTACTAAAGGAGTCCAGGATGGCCAATGCTACACAGAGAAACCCTGTCTCGAAAAAACGAGAAAGAAAGAAAGAAAGAAAGAAAGAAAGAAAGAAAGAAAGGAAGGAAGGAAGGAAGGAAGGAAGGAAGGAAGGAAGGAAGGAAGGGTGATAAAAAAAAGAAAGAAAAGTGTAACACAAACCTACAAAGGAATAGGGACTCTGATGACATCTTTCATTTCTAACAAAAGTGCAGGTTCAGTAGAGAATTTTACAGTTTCTAACTCTGAAAAGCTGCCTTAGAGGTCAGGCTATCTAGAGAATTTCTGAAAAAAAATTAAATGCAACAAACTCTAATGATATGAGCTGTCGGATCGTGAGAGAAGAGCACACTCCACAGTGCGGAAGATATGCCCAGAGGTCATAAACCATGGGATAACGCTGCCTGGCCCTAAGGATGAAACCCTCTCCCTTGGCTCACTGGGCTTTGGAAGTTGAAAGACAATTAGAGGAGCAATGTTCTGAGGACTCTGACGGCCCTGCTGGCGTCCTCCTGAGGCTGTGGCCAGATTCCAGTTTATGCTATGGCATGTAACACCACGAGTCCCAGAAATAAGGCCATGACCAGAAGCCCTGTGAAGTCCCTCCATCTTTGGAAAGTTCTCTTCCTCCCTGATAATCTGTGCCATCCGACTGACTTCCCTTCTCAACTCTCATCACTTAACCTCTGCTCACGCCTAAGTTTGCCTGAAAACATTATCGATGTCTCCACCTCGTATGCCACCATCTCCCTCAGCCAATTTACTCTTCTCGTGGCTGACCTGCCCACTGCCCATTCTCATGGTTCCTCCACCTCCACTGCTCCATCCTGAACCTTACCACCACCAATACACACACACACACACACACACACACACACACACACACACACACACATTTCATATTCCTCTTTGACTCTTCAACATCTCAGGCCCCCAAACTAAATTCGCTGGTGGACTCCTGCCCCCGGGTAGCTCTAGTTTCTCATGTCCCTCATCCATCTTTAATTCACATACCAAGGGCTTCAGATGTGTGCCACTGAGTTGAACTCACAGCCACACATCCCAGCATTCCTATCCCTGTATTACAATCCCAGAGAAACTCCAACCCCAGACCCGGGATTCACATTCTCTTTTCCAAACCCTAGCCTTCGAGTTCATGACTTCTAGTTCCACTGGGATCTTGATGTCACCAAACAATCTTTCCTCCTTTTCCCTCATTCAGTTCTTTCAATGATCTGTCCAAATCTTTATTACTGTCCCTGAGTTCCCTCTTAACTCTCACGGTGCTCTCCAGTGTGTTCTCTGCAAATAACATTACTCCTAATCTCCCGAAATAAACAGAAGCTCTCAGGTCTTAAAGAGCTTGATGTTTTGTTCTCCCTACCCTGGGAATCTGGTACCCTGGGACCTCCCTACCCTGGGAATCTGGTACCCCAGGCCTTCCCTACCCTGGGAATCTGGTATTATCCATATTATCTTCCATTCTCAGAAGCTGAGGTCTTTTGCTGTGAGTTAGAGATAACTCACATAGCTAATTTCATCTTCTGCCACCTCCTCTAAAAGCTTACGAGTCAAAGTCCAAGCCCCACCCAGGGGCCAAAGCATCATCTGTCAGCAAACTTGCTGAAACATGGTCTAAGTTTCAGCCAATCTCTAAAGACTTTACACACACCCTAAAATTAAAGAGACAATGTTCTGTAAGTTTGCGTCTGAGCAACAAGCTCACCCCATATTTAAAGAGAACCACAGGAGTTCTAGAGAAAGGATCAGCAAACTTTCTAGACATTAAATCTTTTAACCACTGTAGCAGAAAAGCAGCCTTAAACAAGGAGTAAATAATTGGGTATGTCGTGTTCTGATAAAACTTTATTTAAAAAAAAAAAAAAAACAAACTATGCAAACAAGCATCAGGTGGGATTTGGTCTGCAGACCTTAGTTAGCTGATCCCTGGCTAAAGTACCAGGCTCTGGACCAACCTGAAACCCAGCAGCAATCATTTACTGTCCCCTCAAAAATGTTCTTGAAAAAGGACTACACAGAAGATCAAAATGCCCCGACTCTCACCCTGGCCTGCTCACTCACAACTGCTGAAATCCTGGACGAACATTAACCTTTCCTCAGAGATTTAAAGACAAAGCAAGGAACTGTATGGGTCAGTGTTTTGAAAGTTAAAATGTTGTGCCTGTGAGTTTATTTCAAGATTGCTTTCTCGATGATTCAAAGTGGAATAAGATCCATTTCCCTATTTTTTTTTTTCTGATGGTGAATTCAGTTTCTGTCCAAGATCAGTCACATGCTCAGAAGCCATACACCAAATTTATGTCTCTGTGAACTCTGGACAGACAACATTTTCATTAGGAACAGGAGGCCCACTCCCAGATCAGTGTATGCTAACCAGTAAAGTGGATTGTTCATGGTGATTTGGGAGATTATAAAAGGGAAAAAGAGGTTCTGCAATCCTTGGAAAAGAGTGTTTTTACCAAATGACTGCTGTTCTCAGTGCTCTCCTGGGACAGTGGGAGCCATTTTACCGGTGAGACACAAGATTTCATTTTTCCCTCTCCCATCTTCCTGACTTACCGTATGAATGCACAGGTGACTAAATTCCATTTTCAAACGCTCAGATGTCTTATAGCTTATTTGTTTGCATGTGTACACTCACACGAGAACAGGCATATGTGGGCCACTGCACACATGTGGAGACCGAGAGACAGCTTCCGGAGTCACTCCCCTGCAGTATCTGGGGACTGAACTCAGGTCATCACTCCTACCCTCTGTGCCGTCTCACCAGGCCATGAGTGTGAATTTTTAAACTTTCTCAAGTCCAAGGATTGCGTCGATCAGCAACATTTTAATCATTTGTGAATCCTTCTCAACAAGCACACATAGTAAATGGGACATACTACCATCCACAGACTGCTCCTCAGGACCTAAAAAAAACCCAAGGTCCTTTTCTTCTTTAGACCCTGATAAAATAAAGTTGAAAATGAGGTTCTAACTACATTACTACCCAACACCAGCTGGCTTATAGATACAAGAGCCCGATCGTTAGTCTTCGCAGTCAACTACACTTGGAGTCACCCAGGAGACACACCTCCAGGCATGTCTGTGAGGGTGTCTAGAGGCTCCCTGAGGAGAACAGAGGCTCCCTGAGGAGAGGAGAGGTTCCCCGAGGAGAGGAGAGGCTGCCTGGGCGTGAGTAGCACCGTCCCAGGGGTTGGGGTCTTGGACAGAATAAAAGCAGAGGAAGGAGGAAGTCAGCTGACTGTTGGCTTTCATCTCTCTGTGACAGCTGCCTCATGCCCCTGCTGCTCTGCTACAGCCACCCCGATTTCCCCTCCCTGAACGACTGTGAGCCGTCGTGTGAGACAAGGTAAGCCCTTACTTGGCTTGCGCCGGGTCTCTGCCACAGCAGTGAGAAGTGTGAGGCTGGCCCAGGGTCACTGCACACCCTGGGTTGGCGTTCCCACTGATCGCAGAGGCCCATTACCTGCCCTTATGTACACCTGATGGACCTGCTGCTGCTGCTTCTTCTTAATCCGGGAGTACTGCCGCTTCAGCGCGTTGATGTCGGTGGTCATCCGCTCCATCATCATGCTGTTGAAGGCCGCGTGGTACTCACTCCGACAGGAATTGATGGCGCCCGGGGTCAGCTCTGCGATGTTGTTTGATCTCAGGGTCTGTTCCTCACTCACCTCTGCATTCGGGAAAGGAACTCAAGGTCAGTAGAGAGGAAGCCGAGCAAAAGGGAACAAATTACCCTACATCCAGGTTGTGCCTTAAGCTCCAAGAAATTCAAAACCAGAAAACTGCTTCGTTTAGCTCCTGTGTTCCCTAATGAGCCTGTGGCCTGAAATGAACTCCGGGTATAAGTCGGTGCCACTTTCTAAAAATCCTTTGGAAAAATGCAGTCCCACGATGTCCCATGGTAATCACTGTGTGGACCTTCTTAAATCTATGTGAGAACAGAGACAAGCTTAACCATTTGTAGACTTTCACCAGGACATTTTCGTTGTGTTTTCAAAAAGTAACACCTTTTATAAATACATGAGACTTCGGAGCACTGTGCCATGAGAAACAAATCCTTTCGCACATTTAATAAGCATTTTCTGATTGTCTGTCATGGATGGTGTGTTTGATATGGTTCCTGATCCTGTGACATCTACAATTCCCTTCAGTAAATGTCCCTTCAGTAAAATCAAGATCACTCCCACAAGAGAGAAACCCTTGCTCTGGTGAGTGTGGACACTCAGGCTGCCTAGATCATCGGAGCCAAAACCAGGCTTCTCTAAAGCAATACATAAAACGGAGCCTGGGAACCAATGAAAGAGAGACAGAGATTTCGGCTGCGCTATTATCTGCTGGGAACGTCTCCAGGGAAAATCTGAGCATCTGATAAATTTACTTCATTTGTTAACTGAAATCACTTCTCTAAATAGAAAAAACTGAAAGAATGACTAGGTTGAACAAAATCACTGAGGAGGACTATTTATGAGAAAGTGATGACTAGCCCAGTCTAAAATCACACAGGAAAAAAAAAAAAACTGATCATAGGCCAAAACCATAGGCTCAGCACTGAGGCAGGGGAATGGCTCAGTGGTTAGCAGCACTTGCTGTGTAATTATAAGGACCAGAGTTCAGACCTCAGAACACATGTATGTGGCTCAGTGACCCACAGATACCTGGAACTCCAGCTCCAGTGATCTGACACCCCTTTTCTGGCCTCTGTGTACACAGGCATCCACACACCTGTGTTCATGGGCACTCAAACACACACATTTACACACATGGATAAGATAAATCTTTAAAGTAAAAAGGGCCAATAAAAGTTACACATCAAAAAAAGTCATACATCAAAGTAATGATAGATTTTTAAAAATTAACATTAATAATTGATTCCATGTTTTTTAAAAAAAAGGCTAAAATTCAGACAACAAAGGGAGTAGAGGGCATCTCAGAAATCAAGAGGAATCTCGTTGGGCTCAGGTATCCAAAGGGTGTCTCAAAAGATGAGAGGACAGTACATATCATGGTCATACACAAAGCAGTGAGAGCCCAGCCTGTTTCCCCCAGTGAAACTTTTAAAAAAATTTTATAAACTTTATTATTTAAAAAAATGCAAATAACTAAAAACACCATACACCATAATTAACCAGACCCATACTCTATACAATTCAATGAATTTCTGTCCATGAACTCAGTACCAAGATGTCCCGTGATAAGCACTTTATATATATTAAAACTCAAAGTGAAGCTGAGCTTGTCGCTTGGCTGGTTTGGTGTCTGCCTAGCATGCACAAAGCCCTTGGGTCAATCCTTGGTACCCTATAAGCCCAGCATGGTGGTACCTGCCTACCAGCGCTTGGGTGTGTGAGACTGTGGTAGTTTGGATGGCAATGGCCTCACAGGCTCGTATGTTTGAATGATTGGTCCCCTGCTGGCAGAGCTACCTCAGAAGGATTAGACAGAAAGCACAGAGAAAATAAGGAGAAGACGCATCTCTGGTGGCGGGGCTCTGAGCTTTCAAAAGACACATCGTTTCCCATGTGCTCGCTCTGCCTTGTAGTTGTCTCATGATGTAAGCTCTCGGCTACTGCTCCAGCACAGTGCCTGCCTGCCTGCCACCATGCTGCCCCCTGCCATGACGGTCATGGACGCACCCTCTGAAACTGTCATCCCAAAATAAACTCTTTCCTCTATGAGCTGCCCTGGTCATGGTGTCTCATCAGAGCAATAGTATGGTGACTGAGGCAAAGATTGCTGCAACCAGGCTCAAAATGAGTCCAGGCTTCGGTAAAATACTCAGCACTATCACAACCAAAAAGCAACGCCAGCAGCCACCACGCACACTTTTTAATAATAAACAAAAAAGTGACAAGACGGCTCAATACTCTCAAGACAATAAAGTCAATAGGGAGCGAAAATAATGCAGAGGGGCCTATGTATCTGTCACTTAACAAATGCTCTGTCCTCTTTGGACCAGAGATTCAGCCTCTTATTTTGAAGGGTAGATTAAATAAATAGTCAAGATACAGCTGCCACCCAAGATGGGAAAGGACACGGGGAAACTACCGGTTACTTCTAAAAGCTCTTTAGACTGTCCAGCCCACAGGAAGTCACTTCTGCAAGGGCACTAGAGTGTGGCCACTGATCCACAGAACCACATTTAAGAAAGACAACACCAAATCACAACACATTAAGGTGGATTCATAGAAAGGTCTAGGATCTTAGCTTACAAGAAATGCCCTCTCTAAGGGGGCTGCCAGCAGAGCTCAGTAAAGAGCTGGTCCCTAGCTTGTGTAAGGTCCTGGGTCCTGTTTCCAGCATGAAAGAGAAAGGAGGAGGGAGAGAAAGCAAGGAGAGAAGATAGGTGGGCAGGCAGGCAGGCGTTCCAAACACAGGCCTTTAGGGAAGCCCTAAGAGATGTGAGAGCCATCCTCAAGGGCTTGAGAGATGTCAGAGGAGGAGCCAAACTCGCTCTGCTGCTTCAGAAGGAAGAACTATTCAAAGTAGTGGGAAGCCAAGGCTACGGGTAGATTCTAGCAGCGTCTTGTGAAGTGATGAGTTTCTTGTCATTAAGAAATTAATGACAATGTGACAGTCCTCACATTGAAGAGAGCCAGTCTAAGTGAACTGAGTTAGACCGCAGGCTACTCTAAGGAAGCAGGCAGCCAAAGCTGAAGACGAACAAACGAAGCCAGAGTTACACCATACAGGAAATGAAAGGGGTATTACTGTGAGTGACATGAGATGCAGGCATATCCTGCTAAAGACAAAGCCATGGAGAAGATGTTTTGATAAAGGCTGTGCATGCTGGGGCCCAACCAGCCAGAGAATCACTTAGGCATCTCCAGGACACAGTAATCACGCCCTTGTCTGAGTGAACCAGCACTGCGTCATTGATCTGAATGCGGGCCCCTCTTTACCTTTAATCTGCTTTTGGTACTTCTGCAGTTCAGGTGCCAGGAGCCCACTGAACGGTCCAAGGCACCCCACGGCACTAGCAACAGCATCCTCATCATCTGGGTCATTCTCTTCATCACTATCTCCGGCCTTACTGTATCGCCTTGGAAAATATAAAGGAAGAAAAAGAAATAGTGAAAACAACTTTTTTTTTTTTTTTGGTACCTTGAGACAGGGTTTCTTTGTGTAGCCTTGGCTATCCTGGATTCACTCTGTAGATCAGGCTGGCCTAGAACTCAGTTATCCACCTGCCTCTGCCTCTCTGAGTGCTGGGATTACAGGCGTGCACCACCACACCCAGCAAAAACAATTTTTTAAAGGAATAGTCACAGGCTTTAAATGTGTGTTGAGAGAGAGACAGACAGACAGACAGACAGACAGAGAGATTTGTAAGTTTCCTGTTCTTCTTGACAATTTTTTTCCTGGTTCTTGCCCCATCTAATTGCCATAGGTCAACTTTGTTACCAGTTTCTTTTCTATTCTCTGGTTATCTATGTACAGATAAATAGACCTAACTTAGAGTTTTATATAAATATGAGAATATACATATATCCTCCTGCAGCTTGCCTTTCATCACATAAAAGATTTCAATATTCTTATGAAGGGTCCTTCACCCTTTTCACAGCTGTATTAAATCTACACAGCCCATGCTAAAGAGCGAGGCTGCTAAGGAGGCCCACCTGAGTGGTTTCCAGTATTATACTAGTATAACAACTGTAATGTGTTTCTGCATGTGTAGAATAAATCTATGGGGAAAATCATATAGAGAATTCCTGAGTAAAAGCACACACACATCAGTATTTGGAGCAAATAATGCCAGATTGTCACAAAGCCTGAGTGAGCTGTAATGAATAATGTATAGGAGTATCTGTCTTCATCAGTGATCTTATCCAGTGGTGGACCCTGTGTGCCACAGTACCAAATTGTCAGCAAGATATGCCCAAAAGTAGCATGACTGTTGGAGGAGTAGCCAACTGTTTTCTGAGTGGATCTGAAACCTGCTCCACGGGAGGGCATTCCTGCCTGGGAGCATAAGCCTGGTCAAAGCCTGTTCTCAAGCGCGGCTGCTGTGGGCAGCAGTTAGCACACAGACTCACAACTGTTCCAAGTGCTTAGAATGACTGAGTTTTGAGTGCTCAGACCTAAATGAGATCTTTCAGTTGGCTCCTCTCCCTCCCAAGGCTCAGAGAACACCTCAAAAGACAAGGATGTAAGAGCTTGGGGCGGGGGGGGGGGGGGGGGGGGGGGAGGGCTGTGAAGTACTGTCTTCTGGACATGACATGCCCATGACATCCACAGGAGGTGTGGTCACCTGCTCAGAACCTGGATGAGGTCAAGCTAGTCAAATCCCAGCATAGATGGGAAAGGAGCTCATGAGGTGCCCTGCCCTTTGCCAAGGAGCCAGAGGCTGTTAGTGGTGCCGGGGAACAGAGAGCCATTCTTCCTTGGGTATGTAACCCCTGGTCAGTTGCCAATGCTCAGCTTCTTGGCCCCACACCCATGAGCATATAAGGCAGCACTAGTTAAACTCAAGGGTTCTGCAAAAGAGAGAGGGCATCAGATTGGGAGGGGAATTTTGGTGGGCTCCAGGGGAGTTGGAGGAGAGAGTGAGAGGTGGATGCAATTAAAATGCACATGTGGGGGGGGGGTCCTCACAGAGTAAATTAAAATGTATTTTTAAAGAGCTATCTTAACCCAGTTCAAATACTCCACATGTGTACATACCCTGAACATGAAATAGAATTCCATTTTCTTAGCAGAAGTGTCTTCACCACCTTACCAAGGGAGGGCACTGGCAAATGGGAGTTTGTGCCCTTCTGAGAGGTGATGGCAGACCAGCAAAGAGGACAGCATCTCTCGCTTTAAGCTGAGCTTCTCTCAGTGCCAATGCTCTTGCCTTACCAGCTTGTCCACATCCTTTGACTGGCACGGTGGCCATCTTCCACTAATTTTTAAAAACTCCGTGTATCTAGAGAGATCAGTGTCATTTTGTCGAAGTTAAAAATGCTGTTGAGTCTAGTTAGGGAGGGCCTGTTCTCTTTTGGTTTATGTCTCGCAGGAGATTATTTTACTGCACTTCAATCTAATACTTTCCCCTCCATTCTCCATTTCAGTCAGGTACTTTAAGTTCTTCCTCCGATCCAAAGAAGTAAAAGAGTTCTTTCTTCGGCTAAGTATTTCTTTTATTTCTTTCTATCTTTCTTATTTTGCCACTTAACATTTTCATCCACATGGAATTATTCATCCAGATATGGGCGTGAGGTGCAACTCTTTCCTAATTGTATTTCACTGGGTCATGGCCATTGATTTTCTCTACCAATTTTGTGTGTGTGTGTGTGTGTGTGTGTGTGTGTGTGTGTGTGTTCTGTGTGCTTGCATGTTCTGTATTATGTGTGTATATGTGTGTGTTCTATATGTACATGTGTGTGTGTTCTGGGTATGTGTGAGTGAGTGACTTTCTGGCCTTTATAAAGAGTATTCTAAATCAGCTCATTCACTGATTGGCATACCAGTTTCACACTGTTTAAATTACTGAGATTTTAAGTATTTTACAGCTTTAAATTAGTTGCAGGTTTGTTACATTTTTCTTCCATTCATGACCCAACCTGTTTGGAATCCTCTCTTGAATCTAAGTCTATAGACTTTTGGGAAATAGTCATTCAAATTTTAAGTACCAAGTTAATTTGCATATAATTGAGGGCTTAATAAATATCAATTTACAAGAACAAATCAAGATATTAAGTCTTCCATGTTGAACTTACCCGGAAGCTGAAATAGGCTTAACCGTGGCTGGGAACGGTGTAATGTTGTAAGTATACTTTTCCCTCAGCTCTGCCAGCTGTGGGAAAGGGAACGGAGCCATCGAATAGACGGTCTAAAAAAAAAGAAAAAAAGAAAAAGAAAAATTGCCAAGTCTCAACCAGTGACCTAACAACTCTCATCAGCCCTGTGTTAAAGGCATTAAAGTTTCGGCAGGTTGAAGCCAAAGAGACAGATACTGCTGCTTCCGGGGAAGCTGGGAGAGATGCATCTACTTTAGGAAGCCGGAAGTGTGAGGCAGGGAGAGGGGGCCATAGCCCAGTCTGCAGAGTGCTTCCCTGGTACAGCTGACGCCCCGAGTTAGCCCCCGACACCACATAAGCATGGCATAATGACATGGTGGACCCCTGCTCCCGGGAGGGAAAACAAGGAGATCAGAAGTTCATCATCATCCTTGGCTAAGTAGTGCATTTTGGGCCAGCTGCGGCCACATGAGATCCTAAATCTAAATAAACGAAAATAAAACCAGGATTGTTGCAGATTGGGTATCATCTTTAAGCCTTGGTGGGGGAAAAAAACAACTCCAAAACCTGACCTGAAACATTTAGAACACCAACATCCTGTCCAAAATAAATAAATAAATAAATAAAACAATTCCACATCTGACCCATTACATGGGTCACAGACAAAACATGGATATACTCAAAATATGGTACAGTACTACCTTCAGTTACATGTATGAAGATTGTACGACATGTAAATAAATTTTGTGATTAGACTTGAGCTCCATACCCAAGATTTCTCATTGTATATGTGCAAACATCCCACAAATCTAAGTCATTTCTAGGCCAAGCGCTTCAGATGAGGGGCAGTCAACCTGTACTGATAACGCAAGTTAAATGACTCCACAAAGCGGCCAGCTGCAGGCAGCTGAGCATTCCAAAGCGGAGTGTGGGTAAGGAGAGCCAGTCACCTGGCATCGTCTTGCCACCTGAGAGGTGTGTTGTTAGCTCCTGTAACATCTGTACCAAAGAAGCCACACATGCCCCTCCAAGATCTGGCTTGTTAAGTGTTTTGATAACTTTCGTGAGCATATCAGCACATCAGCTTTCTGAATTAAATTAAGTTCTGTGGATGACCTTGTGACTCCCTGTGGTCTCACTCCAAGGAGACCACCTTTTCAAAAGCCTGTGGATGAGCTCTGAGTAAAAACTGCTAGCTAATACTGTTTTGTTTTGTTTTGGAGACAGGGTTTCTCTGTGTAGCCCTGGCTGTCCTGGACTCACTTTGTAGATCAGGCTGGCCCAAACTCACAGTGACCTGCCTACTCTGCCTCAGTGAGTCCCGGGATTACAAGCGTGCGCCACTACACACAGGCTGCTAGCTGTTGTTTTTAAAGGAAAAAGAAAAGGCAATGGCAAGTTAACAAAGCATAGGCTGTCAAAAAAGACTCTATAAAGAAAGACAAGGGACAGCATGGGAACCAAGTGTGGTCATGCATGCGTTAACCCCAGCACTGGGGAGGCAGAGGCAGGCACAGCTCTGTGTTCGAGGCCAGCCTACTCTACAGAACTAGTTATAGGACAGTCAAGACTAGACAAAGAAGCCCTGTTTCCACAAAGGGGAGTGGGGTGGAGGTCCAAGCACATGGGCTCACACCAGACTTCGAAAACTCTGCTTCTTTCCATCAGCATGAAGAAAAGGACCCTGCTGGCTCGCTTGCTCTTAAAATTTCTTTGCTCCACAGTCATTTATTCAACCTTTTCAGTTTCCACTCACCAGCAAATATACGTTAATAACACTATCATTTCTTCGCAGAAGCTAATCAAATACCCTGATGAGGGAGGCTGGAAGGATGGCTCAGCAGTTAAAGCACCTGCCATTCCTGTAAGGTCGAAGGCCCCGTTCCCAGCACCTATGTGGTGGCTCAAAACAGCGTGCAACTCCAGTTCCAGAGGCCCCAGCACCATCTTTTGGCCTCCACGGGTCCCAGGCATGCCTACAGTGAACATACTATGTTCAGATGGCATATGAAAATAAACATAAATAAATCTTTTCAAACTATATATGCTGATGATCTTTTTCTAGAAAAGTATTAAGTTGGTTTTTTTTGTTTTGTTTTGTTTTGTTTTTTTTTTCCATTTCAGCATGACTATTCCTCTAGAGCTGAGGTGTTGCATAAACAGGAAATGGGGGAAGGTCTCTGAATGAATCGTGATTGGCATTGCTGGCTCACTCTGGAGTTTGCCACTCTGAAAAAATATTGCTGCAATTTTAATACCCCTATCCATCTGACTGTCCCTAAACTTTATGCCGTCTACCTATCTACTTTATAAACTGATTCAAGATTCTTTACCAAGTACTGGCTACAATCCCTTCTCTTCAGTACTTCGGCTTGCTGTGCAAAGTCGCAGAGCCTACAGGGAGCGCCAGCATTGTTTCTGAAGCTGCCTCCTCATCCTGCCTGCCTCACTACATACTTGATTATCCGCAAGGCTGAGACACAGGATAAATTTAGCAACACTACATAGCCCTTCCCACACCCGCAGACAACGCAGAAAGCTTCTTGTGGTTCCCGCTAGCATGAAGTGTGAGGTGACATCAGTCCCCAGCCTTCCTGGGCTCCCTTGCTCAGTCTGAAAAATGCAGGCTGTGAAACCAGGACGACAACTCCCTCTAGCAGGAGGGGGATGGTTAAAGCCAGGGAGGAGAGCACCTGCCGGTGCTTGGGGTTTAACCTGGGAAGTGTTCGTGTAGATTTTGTGATGCTACACTTAAGCCTGAAGTGCGTCATAGAATTGTATTAATAATGAATTCTCATGTTTGCGCTCACAAAGGCAGACAACAGCTGGCTCACTCCCAGGGCAAAATTTTCTCTTTGCTCCACACAGGCTTTTGAAAGTGTGGGGACACATGCAACCCTATTATTGGCACCCTAACTTTGGGCCCAATAATGTCTTAGATGTCAGTCAGGGAGAATGGAGTCAACTGTGTCTGACCACCACACACACCAAATATCATCCCAGGGCTGAGCCAGGAATCACCTGACCTTGTCATTCATGTGTAAATTTTTGCCTCAGCAACTGAGAAACTTGACTCAGACAGTTAGGAAATTCACATCATTATATTTTGTTTTAAAAGATTTACCCCCATACACCCGAGGCAGGTGGGAGAGCTGGCCCCTGGGTCATGAGAGCAGGAGGGCTGTCCCTGCCCCTCACCAGCTGCAGCACTCAGGAGAGCGGGGCCTGCACCTCACCTGGGCAGCACAGTAGAGCTGGCCTGGGTGGCATAGGCATGGAGGAGCTGGTCCAGAGGTCATGAGAGTGGGAGAGCTGGCTCTGCCCCTTGCTGACTGCAGCTTTGAATGAGGTAGCCGAGGCAGGGCAGGAGAGCATGCCCAGCGGTGGGGGTGCAGGAGAGCTGGCGGGCTGACCAGCTCAGATGGTAGACTGACCTCTCAGGCCCAGATCCAGGGCTTTGAACTGGCCCACCCTAACACCCACCGCATCTACGAACTGCTGGAGCCCATGAAGGGGCTGATATTACAGATCCTAAGCTTCAGGACCTCCATGACACAGGGCAACAAGAGGAGTCCCTTGAGGTCCCACTGTCCATAATGTGGCCAAGCCAGGGGCCTCGAGCCAGACCAATGACTCGTGCAATGAACTTCTGCAGGCAAAGAAGTGCGGACAAAAGCGTACACTGTGCGGCACACTGTGACACACTACAACTTCCACAACGAGCTTCCTTCTTCTTCTTCTTCTTCTTCTTCTTCTTCTTCTTCTTCTTCTTCTTTTTGGGGAGAGGTTGCAGGGATGGAAGGCGGGTACAAGGTGACAGGGAGATAAGTGGCATTGGGGTACATGATGTGGAATTCATAAAGAATAAGTAAAAAGTTTAAAAGAAAAAGGTTTTCACCCCCCACCCCCACAAATGTAACTACTGACATTAGGGATTTTGAAACTGCCTTAAACAACAATCTAGGTGTCTCACTAGGTATCCTCACTGGCTGAGGAGTCACAGTGCTTTACTTAGGCCAATGTCCTAACAGGGATTCGGAGTGTCCCTGACCCCGCCTTGGGAGGACGTTCTGAAGGGAGGGATGAGCAGTAGCTGCTCCATGGCCCCAACCACAGCCCATCCTGCCTGGGCCATGCGTCATCCAACTGTGTGTCATCAAAGCCACTCGGGTGAAAACACTCTGCTCTTCTGGGCTTGCGGCTCCCCTACTCTCTCCTTCTGTTCATCTGTTTGTGTGTGGTCGGTACCTCAAACAGCCACTGGCACCCTGAAACAAGCTTACTCACAACCCTTCTTCACACGGACACACCCACAGGTGTGAAGGTCTCACGTGTCTGAAGTCACATTTGCCCCACAAGCATGAGCACCCCACATCTGGATACGTGGACAGCTCCAGGCATCCCACTTACAGACTAGAGGTGGGCAACAGATTCCGAGTGAGGCCTTTTACTGTGTCTCTTGGGGTCCACATGTACCAAACATAGAATCTTAGAGTTTGAAAGGAATTTAAAGATACTTTAGCTCAACGCCCCTCCTCGTCCCACAGGAAGCCCTCTGGAGTGTCAGCAGCACATGGTCTCGGCGGCACTGCCTAAACACTTCCAGTTGTGGGCATACACTGCAGTGTCGGGCAGATGGCTCCAATTTTTAACAGGACTAATTAATCAAACATTGCCTTTCTACGGAACAAGCGTCAGCATCCTTGACACTTCCAACCCATCGCTGACGGGGAGAAGTGGGCAGCGCGGGTAGAAGGCCAGTGCCCACTCCACGGCACGTGACAGCTGCCTCGTGATTCTCCCTCCATTGTCCTCGAAGAATTTACCAGCGAGATTCAGATACAGCCCTTCACTGGCATTTCTCAACCTCCCTATCTAATCCTGCCAATTGAAGAAAATCATGGGGGCTGCTGAGATGGCTCCGCTGCTGAGAGTGCTCACCACTGTGCCTGGTGACCTGAGTTCAATCCCCAGGACCCGCACGGCAGAAGGAGAGAACTGACGCTGCCAACCTTCCTCCCAGCTCCGCATGTGTGCTGCAGCAAAAAACACAAGCAAGCTCACACACACACACACACACACACACACACACACACACCACACACGCAGGCCAATCTAACGGAGGCATTTTCTCAACTGAGGCTCTCTCTTCCCCAATGACTCTAGCTGTGTCAAGTTAACAAAAAAACAAACAAAAACACAAAAAACACATGGATGTGCCATAACATGTGTGTATAACCACACACACACACACACACACACACACACACACACATAGAGCTAAACAACTCCTATTCGTCTCTAAAACTGCCAGACATTAATTCCCTCATGAGAACATCTTCTACCGTCATCTGCCTTCCCCCTACTTTCTCGGGGCCCTGGGAATAAATTGCTCTTCTCCTCGGCCCTACACACACTCCGTGCACAGCCCAACCTCCTCCCACATGCACCTCCGGTATCTAAGCACAGTACCTAACTTTTAGGGGCAGTCAACCAATATTGGAGAAGTTCATACGGAGCCTAGAACCTGAGACCGGAACATTTTATTTATAATGGTTAGTGATAGCAGATTATGGTTTCACAGCCCTGTCATTCCAGCACTCAGGGCTGTGGCAGACGGTCAGGAGTTCGTGGCCAGCCTGGGCTACACAGAAAGACTCTGTCTCGCCAACAACAGAAAGCAACAAAGACACTGCCTAAACTGCCACTGTCTTCAGGAGTTTGGCTGCTCCTGCTCATGGAAGATCATCCCAGCTGGGCTTGCTGACTGCTGATATTCTCTCAGAGAAGGAGAGGCCAGGGAGGCTCACGAGGGTATCTGGCCATCCCTCCAAACAAGCTGTATGCAATTCTGACCTAATTACATGAGGCCTCAGAACCATTGGGAAGGGCGTGGCACATAGTGGAGAATGACTTGAGAGAGCGCTGTATCTACACACCCGTAGGAGGGTCCTCATCCGTGCTGGGCATATACCTTCCGGAGCGGCTGCTTTAAGGTCACCTGTGCTCTACCCATAACCCCTCACCCGTGCTCCGTAAGTATGCCTTACAAACTCATTGGTTCCACTGAGGTGAACTTTACTTAAATCAAACGTTGGTTTGCCATTGGAACCTCGTAAGGAGAGGGGCAGATGTTGCCTGCCTACCTCCCGCACCCTACCCCACCCCGAGAGAAAATTCTCACAACCCATGCACAGAAGGTTCCAATCCGTAGAACAATGTAACAACAAAGTGACCAAAGCAAGAAGAGGATGATCACTCTGGCAGCAAAATGCAGACTACATCCCCCAAGAAACTACAGGCGGGCCCCCATGGACGAGCTTTGTTTAATTCAGCAAATGCTGACTGAAAAAAATAAATAAATAAAACAAAATGCAGAACACAGACCATGGACTCTCAAATAAATGCTTGCTTCATGATTTAATCAACTTTCAGAGCAGCGCTCGTCAAGAACAAAATGCTAAGCACAGGCCTTGTCTGCAAGCAACTTGCAACATTACATGGAAATAAGATTCGGACTTAGAAACCACAGAACGAGGTCAAAGCTCTCATGAGAGGCACAAAGGAAAGCATGAAATGAGAGCCTCTAGCTGAGATGATGAGGGAAACTTCATGAAGGGCAGAGATGTCCTGAAGGAAGATATATGAGGTCAGGAGAAGCAAAACGGCACAGGGAGGGCAGCCATCTGGAGGGGGTGTGTTTCCAGGCATTCAGTCAAGCCTGGAAAACAATGTGACCCATCATGAAGAGGATCGAGTACAAAGGGGATGGATGGACACCCTGCCTGGAAGGGAGGGAGTCAAGCAAATGGGGTGTTCTGTAGGCTCCAAATCCTGCTTCAAGCAAGGATTTAAAGGATTTTGTGCATGGAAAAGGCCAGACATGGGACTTATGTCATGGAACAATGCTCGATAAATGACACTTCCCTCTCAGGGAGGAGAGCAATGACCAGGATGTATGAGAAAGGCTAGAATCAGAGCCCATGTGTCAAGGTCAGGCAGAACATTTCCTCTTTTGAGACAGGAAGAAGGAAGAGGGAGATTCCACAGAGCTCTGACATTCAAATATGAATGCCCAGGGAAGTTATATTAGGACTACCAGGGTTCCCAATAAATCAGACAGGAAGGAGAGTTCCTCAGAAGCTGTGGTGTCAGGAAGTGGGTAGGGGAATGATGCTCATTTCTGAAACCCTAAGTCAGTGCCTGAATCTTGCTGTCGGCTGCTGACTGAACTCAGCACCAAAAATGACCACAGGCCGGTAACCCAATATAAGCATGAAACTGGGAGAAAGAAAAGAGAAATTACAGAAAGAAGAAAAGAAAACAAGTCCCAAGGACAGCCTTGGATACATTCCACAATAGATCAGGGACAAGAAGGAGAGGCAGAAAGATTACAAGGGGCCCAAAGTACTAGAGGGGAATAAGGACAAAGTGAAGTCCCAGAACCTAATAAAAACAAAAAACAAACAAACAAACAAAAAACATGCCAGAAAAATAATTGAACCCTCGAGTCTCTCACATTGAAGCTTGTAATTAATACGTGATACCACCAGTCGAACATAAACCAAGACGCAGATTAACCTCCACTTCATATTTAGTAACTCCTTTCCCCTCATAACTACTCCATACATCCGTCACCCCTTAACAAGTCTCAGAAGTGGGGCCAGCAACATGGCTCAGCAGGTAAGAGGCTTGCCACACAGGTCTGACGAGCTTGGAACTCTCAGCAGAAGGAGAGGAGCAACTCTTGAGGGTTGCCCTCTGACCTCCACAAGTGTGCCACAATATGCACATGTCTGCACTTAGACACACCAAACAATAAAAGGGGAGGGGCTTCTTTTAGTCTCAGAATCAGATTCACGATAAAGGCCTGATGATTTTTTTTTCCCAGTTTGTTTTTTATGTTACACCTAAGCATTTTTAGGTAACAAGCAGCCATTCGTTTCTTCCTTTCTCCTGTGACAAAGGTTCTTATCAGATTATAGACAGACTCTGACCAATGGGGAAAAAAAACAAGCCAGAGGACTGGGTCAGAGGTCAGGTCAGCAACTGTTATTCCCTTGACCCTGGGCTTCCAGTCCCAGACTGCCCAGACTGCTCCTCACCTGCATGAGTTCGTGGCTCTGCAGGAGGTCGTGCTCCAGCATCTCCTGGGTGAGGCGTCCCATGGTGCTGTAGAACTCGTCTGCCGTTTCACAACATTCTATCTGCCTAGAAGAGAGAAGAGAGCAGAAGAGGGACTTGATGGGGCCCTCTGTGCTGCAGGACAGGCCCAAGAACACCATGCCTTATCATCAAGGCTGTCGACAGCAGTACGAAGCCCTGCCTCATGCTCGAGGTACAGTCTGCTACCGCCAAGGGCAAGGTGAACATGGGCATGTATTCCTGTCCTGCCAGTTATGAGGAAGGCTGACTCAGGAGGGTCACTGAGCACAAGGGTTCAAGACCAATCTGGGTAACACAGCCAGATCGAATTAAAATGTGTGTGTGTGTGTGTGTGTGTGTGTGTGTGTGTGTGTGTGTGTGTAGACAAAACAAAAAGTAATTTTCAGGCAGTCATTCTAGAATGAGTTCCTATCTTCTCTCTACGGCTCTCTGAGCCTCACAGCCCCACAGGGTTCTTTATTCTCCCTGTGTGATACATTCTCTTCGTCAGAATGCACATCAGTGACCAGAAGCAGAACCACAAAATTGGGATCTGAAAGCAATTATCCGCTGTGGGAAATGAGCAGGTCTTAATCTGCAGGGATATCACGAATAGACTGAATCCGAACCACAGCCGAGCTGAGAAGGGTATGGGAACTTTACATCCTGGCCCGCTGTTCTCACACGCTTCGCTGACTCCTTCTCAGGAAAGTAGCTGTCACCTCTGAGACTGGTGAGATGTTAATGTTCTCTAAAGAGGAGGAAAAGGAATAACACGAAACGGCAGGCTCTAGGTGTTCCTGCTTGATCTATTACAAAGGTTTCTGCGTGGTAGGATAATTCCATTTGCCCACCAACCATAAGGCATGTTTTGACAGGCCCTAATGTCGGGTGGTTTTCACACATTCAGAACACAAATATAATGGGAAAAACCTCGGGCTCAAATCCCCTCGGTACCACAGTGTAAATAAGAAAGTGAAATAACAGGAGGGAATGCTGTGACAAAATACAGCAGGGCAGGGGGATGTGAAAAACAGTTCTTCTCACCTTGGGGCAAGAGGCAGGGAAATGCATATTTTTTAAATGGTGTGTAGCTACCAAGGAGGAAGAAGCCTTGCAAAGGCCTGATGTAGAAGTGGGGAGACTCCCGCTGTTCCCTAAGGCCAACTGATGTTCATGGGAGTGGAGTCGCTGCACAGCCAGAGGGAGCCAGGGAGAGGCAAGGTCGGGAGCTGCAGAGGGCAGTTCACAAAGGCCCTGTCTGCCTTCTGCGGCCATTCAGGACACAGGTGACCCAGGGGTTTTCAACTGGGAGTGATGGAGCAGCTGCGCCCTTGGCAAGGTTGGTTTAGAGGTGGCTTGGCATCTTTGGGCACAATTAGGGAGAGTCAGGAGGATGTATGCTGAGCGTAAGGTGATGAGGGAGTGTGGCGATATGAGAAGTCACAAGAGAAAGACAGACAAAGGGAGCTGCAACGTGGGCTGGGTGGAAGGAAGGAATTCCAGGCTGCGGAGAGAAGGTAAGTGAGGAGCCCCACAGACAACAGCAGAAGGCACAGGTGCTCTTTAGTCATGCACGGGCCCAGGTTCCCCACACGCCACGGGCGTTCTCCCAGTGTTAGGTCTGCGGGGAAGCATTATGGGCACCGGAGTCCAAAGCTCCAGGCACAAGTCCCAGCTCTGCTTCTCCTTAGCTGGGTGACTGGAAACGAGTCAATGAACCCTCGCAGGGTAATTTTCTCACTTGAAAAGACAGGGAGGAATAATCTCCCCTTCTCTTCAGGGTTATTGAGAGAACCAAATGAGATAATATACTGAAACTGCCTAATGTAATGACAGGCGCTGTCAGCTTGAGATAGACGTTGGTGGCCTTTCCTTGCTCCTCACAAGTCGCCAGCTGAACAGATGTATAATTATCATGCGCCAAACCCCTAAAACACTTAGGATTCACAAACAGGAGCCATTTCTGAGCAAGGGATTTGCATAATGAAAAGCAGAAATGCTAGAGCCAGGATGCCTTGGTTCAAAACCGTGTCTCCCACTCATTAAAAGGGTGGTTTTAGGCAAGTCATTAAACTCTGCGCTTCGGCCCACCCCTTTGTCCCCCCCTCATCCCTGACAGGGAGTGACAGCACTGCGCTCTCCTACAGCACACTCAGAATGCCTGTGGCGTGGGGAAGGCTGGAAATGCCACGGGAGGGCAGAAAGAAGGGCATATTGAGAAAGAGGGAAGGACAAGTCAGAGGCACGGCAAACGTCACAGAAGTGAATTTGTTGGCTTGGCTGGAAATCATTACGCAGTAAAGCAAAGGCAAAAGAAGACAGCTGTCTGATGCTTACAAATACAAGCCCAATGATTTCTGTAAACCCCTGAACTGATGGTTGTTGGTCCTTTCCCTTTTAAAAGCAGCTTCCAGAAACAGTTATAAATGAAGAGGCGAGCTAAAAACTTCTAAAACAGACTAGGCAGGATAGTGCAGTGGGGAAAGAAGCCTGTGCCAAGCCTGACAGCCTGAGATCCGTTCTCAGAACCAAACGGTAGAAGACAAGAGCCGACTCCTGCAAGTGGTTGGTCTTCTAAGCAATACACGCGGGCGTGGCACCATGCAGCCACACACACGTGCAGACACACAAATAAGCAAGTGCAATTTCAAACCTGAACACTGCCAGGGGCTTATTAGTTTTCTGGCATGTTGTCATGGGTACGGACTCACTGGAACTTTCTCTGCGCCTAAAGCTAAGGATAAATGAGCAGAAACATACCCTCCTTTCGCCTGCTACAGGTAAGGAGGGCAAGGGGAAGGTGGCTGGTATTGTGTTCTGGCAGATTTTAGCATCTGAAGAACCCCTCCTGAGTGAAAAGGAAGCACCTTGTTTTGCACAACTGACCGCACACGTGCTGGTGCACAGGAGTTCTTAGTGACTCTCCTGACTGCACAACTGTGGGTACACCCTCTCTCCTGACTGCACAAGTCCAGGTACACTTTGTGCCGGGAATCTCATTTAATTTTATCACAACTCTAAAGTCACAAGGTAAACAATAAAAATTCATAAATAAGCCAGGAGCCAGGTGTAATGACGTATATGCCCATAATCCCAGCACCTGGGAGATAGAGGTTGAGGAGCCAGGAGTGAAAGGTCAATCTCCGTTGTGAGCTGAAGCCAGCCTATGCTAGGTGAAACTCTATCTCAAAAAAGAAAATTAAATCATCCCAATTGTGATATGCAGCAAGAAACCTGCCTATTTCTTTGCAGATAGAGCAGCTTCTTCTATAGCTAAGTCCCCTTTCCTTTTCCACAAGAGTGTACAGGAAGCCCCTGATGAGGCAGCGGTCAGATAGTGAGGCAAGACATCCGGAAGAAGCCTGCCCATCCTTGAATACATCCCCTTCCCGCTGGAGAAACCAAGGAGCCTGATGAGGTTTGTACAGGCTAACAGGTCACAGCGTTCTCTCTCACACACATACGGGTCAATTCTTTGCACTAAAGAGCCCCAAAGACAGCTAACAGCAGAGGCCAGAAGAGAAAATCACTTACTCTCCCAGTTTTGCCCAGATAGCCAGGGACACCCTCAGGATGATCTCTGAACCTTCAAAGAAGACCGAGTCCCAGATCTTCAGAACGGTGTGGTTAGGGAGACACGTGGCAAAGAGAGTGAGGAACCATTGCATCGTGAAGACGTTGGTGAGCGGGGGCTCATAGCCACCTGAAAGGAATCAACACGTCCTTGAGAAAGAGATCTGTGAGGTGCACGGCGCCCTCTCGTTCTTCCATGCCCACCCAACTGTGTGGCCTCCCGGCTGCTTCTTTCGTATTCCTCAAACGTTCTTTCTTCCCGTTTCCCTCCCATGTTTCAAGAAGAAACATTTTTAATAGAAAGCTCCAAGACATGAGAGTCATTCATTCTCTGCCGTATTTCAGAAGTTTTTTACCTGAACTAGATCTGGTTCTACTTATTCAAGGCTGCCTAAAATTAAGGAGAAAGTTTTCCTCACCAAAAAACACTGTGAAAACAATCGATTGCACTTCCTCAAATACAAGGGCTGGTGATCATCTTGCACTTATGAGTCCCTGGGTCTAGGCCCAGAAGAATCACCCGAAAAAAAAACACAAAACAAAACAAAACAAAAAGCCAGCAGACTTTCAAAATCTCATAGTTCCCACTTTAATTCAACTGCAAGGATTAGAGCTAAAACTGTTTATTATAAATTACTTATCTCTATAGTTGTATAATTCCTAGATCACAATCGAATGAAACAGAAAATAAGTGGGGGGAAAAATTCCAAAATATTTAGTTATTAAACAACTTTCAATTTAAAAGTATTTTAAACTAAGTGATATGCAATTTTAAAAACAGACCCATCCCATTTTGAAATTTCTGAATTCATTAAAAGCTCAGCATTCCTTTCCACTTCAAGTATAAATGTCTATTAGATTTTTAGACTGATCCTTCCAATGACTGTCAATTGTACAACTATTTCAGGGCACACACACACACACACACACACACACACACACACACACACACACAAAGTTTGCCTGAACTCATTTTCTTCTTTTCTCCTGTGAACAAATATTTTCCCAGAGACTAGAACCCAAGGTTATTCCTCATGGTCAAGAGCAAAGGGACTTGAAGAAAAACATGTTTGTCAATAGCCTGTGTCTTCCACTACCATGAAGATACAGAGTTCCACTGCCACCAGATCACACAAGATAGTCATTACAGACGCTCAGCTGTCTCTAAAACCTCCCGTGTATTTTAGTAACAACTGGATCTTCAAAACCCTTTAATGTAACTTGTCATTTCAGTACCAACAAGCTGAGTGAGGCAGGAGGATTTCTGCTGAGTCTGAGGCCAGCATGGGGTAGACAGTGAGACCCTGTCTCAGAAACAACATTCTTTAATGAGTCCCCTATTATTTTATTTCATTTCATCTCACTTTTTTTTTCTTTTTGGTGGTGCAAGGGATCAAACCTGGGACCCTGGGACACACCGGATAAGCATCATCCTTGGGCTGCAGCCCCAGGCCTGTGCTTCTACGTTTAACTGTGCACATTAGGCCAGACTGCATGTGTAGCCCACCACAGCAACTGGCGACCACTAACAGAACAGCAAACCTCCGACTGTTCTCTCTGGTGTTCAGAGAGAACAGAGTTGCGGAAGTGTACCAAGTAGGCCCAGTAGAGCCAGGAGGACACCCACTACCTGCCAGTGACTCTCCCACACACACCCAGCACCTCTCTTGCTTCTGCCAAGGTCATGGTCTATGCCAGAGTACACCCCTGGCTCAGCTCTAAAGAAGTCCTACGGGTCTGGCGCCACTTTAGTTTAACTGAACGAGAGGGCGTGTGCACCGCTCTCCATGCCCTGTTGATCTGGAACCAACACAGAGTTAGATCTTAACTGACTACCTGCCCAGGTCTAGTAGATATTTCAGCAGCACGCAGCCCTACATATTTTCAATTTTGTATTTGTTCTCTGGAAATGAAGGTTTGATTGCACTACACTCTTTAAACGGAAGTACCTGGCAACCCATTTCCATCCAGAGCTTAAACTCGTACACACAGCGGAACCTGGCAAGCCCAATGCTTTCGGGAATGGAGCAGCCAGGAGTCGTCCTTACCTCCGCTCTCCTTGTTTGCCGTTTTCTGCAGAGTATCAAGGTGCTGAGACAGTTCCGGGAGCTTCATTCTCAAGAGGTCCCTGAAGACAGCCATATCCACAGAGAGTGCCCGAAGATTATTGACAAAGTAGCTCTCTGGAAGTACCTTATCAATCAGGTAAATCATAATCTAAAAAAAAAAAAGATAACAAGACTGCTTCAGACCCACCAGGATCCCAACATGCCCAAAATAAAAAGCACATCCCAAGAGATGAAAGCACACATGCCTCCCGGTGCGTCAGAAACCAATTCTGGACTCACCTACACTCCCTGCAAAGGAGCGGGCGGCATAATTATCTAAGTAACCCAAAGTCAGCTGTGCTGTGAAGTTTCTAGAAGGGCTGCCAGACCTGAGCTCACCCCATATATGGCTGCGATTATGCAACCGTCAGCCTCGTGGAGAAAACACGAGAAGGCACAAGTGCCCTGCATTCAGCAGGACCCCCCATCCTGGCTCCTGGATGTCCTGGGTTTTACAGCCTGGATATGAAAAGCCCAAGGGCTGGCCTGTCATAAAACACCCACACGGAGGCAGGCCTCCAGGTGTACTCATGGCCACCGGGGCTATCAGAGTGAATGACGCCGGCTGTAGAGAACATAAAACATAAAGAGGTTTTGTTTGCACACTTGCCGCCTTTTTAAATTGGTGCTTCTCTCACAGCCATGTCATATATGTTCCTCAAATTACCCTTTTCCTCTGATCGCTGGGCTTGTATTTCCATTTCTGAAACGTCAAAGGCCACTCAAATGACCCCACAGGGCATGCCTCAGTTCTGCCTTTCCTAGCCAGCTTGAATGCTGTGTGATGCCCCCACCAGGACACCAGACAAGGAAAGACCACAACTACAGCTAGCTCTGCGTGCTGCTGGGGAAGTGCTGTCTCGCTGGGCCCCACAAAACTCCGTTTTCAAAAAAGAGGTTTTCTCTTAGCCCTGGCAACCCCCCATGGTTGGTAGTTTCTACTTTTCAGGTCCTAGAAGATTCCTGGTGGAGCAGAGGGCTCCGGTGGGCAAGGGCCAGGGAGAGATGAACAATGAAGGACAAAAGAAAGGTCAAAATCCACATGGTGCTACACTTCTCCCCTAAGTGCTATAGCACTGAGAAAATACACTGAGTGAGTGAGTGAGTGAGTGAGTGAGTGAGTGAGTGAGTGAGTGAGTGAGTGAGTGAGCTGGGAACCTAAGCCATATTTCACCACCACCAGGGCTACCAGAGGCCCTTATACTAGGCCTCCCATATCCTAGGCAATTATCTTTGCTACTGAGCTGCAGCCCAACCTAACATGTTTTTATTAAGAAATCACGGTCTCTTTAAAATTACAGAACATTTCTCCAATTACACTATTAGTTATTTTTTGGGCATACGTATGTGTGATGGGGGTCCCGTGGAAGGTGTGTGTATACAGGACCCAGGCTGACACCGGGTGCCTGTTCCAGTCACTCTGCCCATCCTGTATTGAGGCAGGGTCTCTTGCTGAACTCGGACCTAGTCCGCCTAGCCTGTTTGCTTAGGAATTGCCTCCAGCACAGAGGAATGACGGGCAGGCCGCCACACCCACCCAAATTTTATGTGAGTTCTGGGGATCCCAACTCTAACTTTTACTCACTGAGCCATCTCGCTAGCCCCAACTATGCTAGTAATTCTACAACACAATAAAATTCTCAGTCTAAGGTCACCTCAACTTCCGATATTAAGTCATATGGGGACAGCCCCCCTTAGTCTACCCATGAGTTCCAAAAGTCAGGTCTTACATCATAAAGTAAGATGAGGAAGAGGAAGAAGAAATGGGGACATTTCTGGTTTTTAACAGATACTGCTGAACAAAACAGCCTCAAAGGAAAAATGAGATAAGGGCTGAGAAAGAAAAAAAATATGGCCTTTTTATTTTTACGGATTAGTCATTTAGCTTACTCAAGCTAAAAGAGCTACTGGAAAAACACAGACCTGCAATGATTTCCTGGGCACCGGAAAGGTCCCCTCGTGAACCTAGCCTTCCTCTGCAGGTGAGGTGTCTACCGAGGTCTACACATCTTCACACATCACCACGCGTGTGGCATCCACAGCATGCTCTGAACTCATTTTCTTTCTTTCTTGTTTTGTCCAGTGCTGGGTTTGTTTTTCTTTTTAAGCAGGATCTGACCTTGAACTTATTACATAGCCAAGGCTGCCCATAAACTCCAGATCCTCTGGCTGGAGAGATGGCTCAGTGGTGAAGAGCACTGGCTGCTCTTCCAGAGGTCCTGGGTTCAATTCCCAGCAACCACCTGGTAGCTCACAGGAATCTATAACTCCAGTTCCAGGGGATCTGACGCCCTCACAGAGACATACATGTAGGCAAAATACCAATGCACATAAAATACAGATAAAAGCATAAAAAACCCTCGTGATCCTCCTGCCCCCATTTCCCACGTACTTGAGTTATATAGGTGTGCTCCACCACCCCTAAGCTCCAGTTCAGCCTTTTACGGTGTCGAATTTCTCAGGCATTGTTGAGTCCTTTTGTGCTCTGACTGGCATATGCACACCTTTCTCTAAACCTCTCCATCCCACCTCCCATCTGAATCACTTTCTCCAATTTTTCCACAGAACGCTTCCTATTTTAGACATGCAAATTACATCTGAGAAAAATCACTGAAGCTGGTGGACTGAATACATGAAACAGTCCTTTTTTATTGTCTTCTTTGACGGGGCTGGCCTCAAACTCACAAACATCCTCCTGTCTCTGCCTCCCACGTGCTGCGATTAAAGGCGTGCACTACCATGCCCAGCTAGAATTGCTTCTGCATTTAAAGCATCCCAAAGTCCTGTGTTGGACCCATCACCACCTTTCACCTCCCCGTCACCACCTTTCAGATGAGTAAGTAGCTTCGAAGCTTTTGCCTTCAATACATAAACAGAAAGGGTGAGAAGGTGCATTCATTTCAGGCTGGGTTTATAATTAAGTCTACTGTGATATGTATAAAACCGGAGGAACATTTGTTTATTTTTCCATATCACCGAGATATTCCCCACAGTCAAGCAGGTGGAGCTTGAATACAAAGATTAGATCTCATACGTCACAAACACTGCAGGGAACATCAGTGTGAAGGTTCAGCTGTGAACTGGAGACTCACACTGCCCTAAGCAAATCAGGAAATGGTGCCCCTCCACGTTTGAAAGCCTTCATTTTTCATATACACTCTGTGGTAGTTTGAATGCAAACGGCCCCCGTAGCTCATATCTTCGAATGTTTCATTCCTAGCTAGAGAGCTGTTTAGAAAGCTTTATGAGCTGCGGCCTTGCTGGAGGAGATGTGTCACTAGGGGTTAGCTGTGAGGTTTCAAAAGCTCAGGCCAGGCCCAGTCAGTGTCTCTGTCTCTCTGTCTCTCTTGCTGTCTGTCTGTCTGTCTATCTCTGTGTTCCTCCCTCCCTTTCTCCTTCCTTCCCTCTCTCCCTCCCTCCTCCACTCTCTCTCTCTCCTTCCCTTCTCTACCCTCTCCCCCTCCCTCCCTCCCTCCTTCCCTCTCTCCCTCCAGCCTGCAGATCAGAATGCAAGCTTTCAGCTGCTACTCTACCGCCATTCTGGCCTGCCAGCCACCATGCTCCCTACCATGACGGTCACGGACTAACCCTCTGAAACTCTAAGCAAGCCACAAGGAAATGCTTTCTTTTATAAGAGTTGCCTTGGTCATGGAGTCTCTTCATGGCAATAGAGCAGTGACTAAGACAGACTCCATCTGTGGGGAGTTAGCCACTCAGAGTCAGACCTCTAAATCTTACACTACTGGTGTTTCCAGAACTGCTTTCAACTAAAACAGGGCTTAGACATCAAAGATTCAATGACACGATTCACTTCCATATGTACTCTCCATGCAGATACCTCTCATAGATATACCTACTTACCTCCTGTATACCTTGAGCTAGTGTGTGTGTGTGTGTGTGTGTGTGTGTCTGTCTGTGTGTCTCTGCTGTGTCTCAGTCTCTCTACCACTTCTCTCTCTATTGACAGAGTCTCAGGTAGCTTTGGCTAGCCTTGAACTCATTAGGTAGCCAAGTATGGTCTTGAACTCCTCCTGATGCTCTTGCCTCCACCTCCCGAGTAGCAGAACTGCGGAAGTACACTACCACACTTGGTCTACACAGGAACTGAACTCTGTGAAGGGGGAGGTGGGGCTCTGGCCACCTGAGCAACATCCCTGGCCTGGTAGTTACTGCATAGATATTCCGCTGGGATGTAAACTGACCTGGTGACCATGGAAATGGAAAAACAACGGCTATCACACGGGACACTTGGCTGCAAATCTGTAATCTCCTCTGCCTTGCTCACTCAGGGATGTCAGCCCTGAGATGGGAGACCTCACATGGCAAGGAACTAAAAGGCCTTCAATCGGCCACCATCAAACACCTGAGACCCCTCAATTCAACAGCCTGTAAGGAATTCCTTGCCAACAACCACAGGAGCACACTCCGCAAACGCTCCTGCCATTTGAGCTTTCAGATTAAGAGCACAACAGCCACCATCATGAATACCAGAGTGATGTGCCTCTGAGTTGGCTTGGCCATGATCAGATTTCTGACTCAAAAAGGCGGTGAAGTTATATATACTTGGTGTTAAGATCGCCTAATTTGTTACACACACAAACACACACACACACACGACATAATCAATATATAACTTGCTTTTAAAGTGTCTTATGAGAGTGACAGCTATCACAGTCTATCATGACATGGCTTTAACTTGGGGAAGATCTTATCACAGGTGATTACAAAGAGATTGGAAGGGGAGAGTCCTCAAAGAAAAGAGTTATAGTCCCTGCTTCAGCCTTCCAGTTGCCCTGGTCTGAACCTTATACTCACTTTTAGAGCGTCCCCCTCATTGCCTTCCATCACTTCCAGAATCAGGGCAGCCAGGATGTTGAAGCCTTGGCAGTACCCAACATTCTTGTTCCAGCGGGCATAGGCCAACAGCACCCGCTTCAGAACCACGCGGTCTTGCTCTGCCTCCTGGCCACAGTAGGAACTACAGCCCGTGCGATGCAGATCCTAAAAAGGGACGGGAAATGGCTTTTAAATCCTCGGGCTGTGGCCTGTGGCTTGGAGAGCAGCTTCGCTCCCCTGCACATGCTTCCCACCATGATGGCTTCCCATCACAGAATCAAAACAACAATCAAAAGACAGCCCCCCCGACTAGTGAGCCAAATGAACCTCTTCTCCTTGTGAGTTGACTGTCCTGGGTATTTTGTCACAGCTTGGTCACAGTGATTGAGAGCTGACTAACAAAATGCCCAATACTCCCTCAGAAAAAAAGAAAAAGGAAAAAAAATTAAGTTTTTTCTTCACTTCGCCTTTACATCTGTGAACATAGATGTTGATTTTTGTTTTGAATTTATAAGCAACTTATACACATGAGCCAAAGCACTCTTTTGAATGTTCTGTTTTCCTACTGCTTTCTACCATGCAAGCAGAGAAAGAGTCACAAGGATAAGTTCAGTCAGGCAAATGTGCTAAAGTGCTTCCAGAATCAACTGAAAAAGTTACCCAATTAACAAAATCCCATTACAATTTCATGTAAATTGAGAGCCCTTTAAAAAATGTACATTAGTCATCTGTATAAATAGTTCAACATATAATGAAAGGTGCTAACATTAATCCTTTAAACAGAATATGGTAGAAGGTTTAGCTGCTAAAGCTCTAATACTAAAGACTAAAATTAAAATAGCATCCTTTATTACACAGACAAATCATCCCGTACAAATTAGTCTATACATTTCTACAATATAGATAATAACACCTGCTGCACTTTCATATGCAATGGAGCTAATAGCTGTAATTTAATTGCCAGGACGAGACTATGGTTTTTAGGAAAGAAGATCAATTTTCTGATGTAGCATTTGCTTCAGTGGGAAAAAAAAATCCTTTTTAATAACATGATTATAAAATGTGTGTTGGCTAAGCAGGTTATGGTGGTGGCCTCCTTTAATCCCAGGAGAAGAGGCAGGCAGATTTCAGTGAGTCTAAGGCCAGCCTCATTTACACAGTGAGTTCCAAGCCAACCAGAGCTATACAGTGAGACCCTGCCTCAAAAACAAACAGAGGGCTGGAGAGATGGCTCAGTTGTCAAGAGTGCCTGCTGCTCTTCCAGAGGACTGGGTTCAGTTCCCAGTATCCAGATGGCAGTTTATAATTGACTGTAACTCAAGCTCCAAAAGATCCACTGCCCTCACCTGCTTCTGTAGGTACCAGTAATAACAGCGGTACACAGACACACATGTTGGCAAAACACCCCTACACATAAAACAAGATAATGTTTTTTTAAGTGTATTGCCTTAATTCGTAAGTTAAACTGAAAGGGAATATTTCAAATATGAAGTTTTGTCTCTGTGAAACCCATGCTGAAATTCCAAAGTAAAACACTGAAATGCGGATAATGCGAAGGGTTCCAGCATGCAATACGAAATGCCACAATTTTCTTAGCGTTCATTTGAAACAAACCAATTTAGATCAGAAAGCAGCTCATTTTTAGTTTGTTCTTCCTCCTTTTAAAAAAAAATGGATTTAAATGTGCCAACACATTAGCCATCTTGCGGTGGCCAAAATGAAGATGAGACAGCCTTCCTTTTCAAATCCCAGCTTAGCATCCCACTGTGGAACACTCATAAAATTCAAAGCTCACATGCCTGAGCCTTATGTATAAGGATTATTCTGGTACCAAATGAAATCAGCATCCTTGCCTCTGAGAACCAGGCTCTAATCAATTGCAATAATGCAGGTATTCGACCACAGCTGTGCCCATAGCTGATGAGAACACTAAACACAGATCTATCAGCCAACCTAACTATAATTAGCAGTTAGAGTAGCAAAAGCTCTAATAAGAGCCAAATGTTGCTAATATGAAATACACTCACCTTCAAATTTCTCAGTCAAAATTTGCATCCCTGTCCCATACTAAAGAAAGTAAAAAGGAATTTCTCCTATTGTGTAACAAAATTAGATAAATTGCATATGTATAGGATCTCATTCACATTTCTCTCTTACTGGCAACATTTAAATTTATGAAGACGAACAGTCCAGTTCTCTGTACAAAAGCTACTAACTGAATAGGAGGCAGATCATATGTAGACGTTCAGACTGGAGATAGAGGTCACCTAACCCTCTGTCAAGGAAACACTTGGCTCTTAGAGTCCTTTTCACTACATTAGGGCAGGAAGCCAAGCTCAGGAGCTTTACCTTGACTATCTGAATCCCCATTGAGTCGTCGTCAGGATTGCTTCTCTCGTTGAATGTGAAGCGCATGGTTTTGTCCCAGTCGATGGCTATACTGTGCAGATAATGATCTGCCAAGGTCAACCAAACCTAGAGGGTCGCATGAACAAAGGAGGCCGGTAAAGCTGAGTGTCCTGCTTTTATTAGAAAACTAGGATTGCATCCAGGGGGGACCGGGAGCTGCTTAGAGGCCAGGGCTAGCTCGCGCACACAACTCTCGTTTGCTGTATTCAAGTGTACCCTGTGGGGCCTTTCACTCTTTATTGCGGTAGATATTCATTGAGTTTTTACTAGGAGCCAAGTAACAATCTAATCATTAGTAAAGAAAATAACCAGAATTTTTTTTTCATTTTATTCAGGTAATTGAATAGGTTGTATAATTTTATGACTTTGTTTTGCTTAACTTAACTCTTAACTCTAGCTGGTTGGACACCAGCTACTTGGTCACACACGGACCATTTTTCCCCATGGAGGCCTCTGCCTTAAACCTCCCCCTACACACTCCCTCCATAAACTCCCCCTGTCTATTCTGACAGATAGATTCCAGAGTGAATAATTTTTTAAAGAGTCCCTGGATATTTTTACTCCCTTACCTGACCAAGAAAATCTAATTCTGAAAAAATGAATTTCATAAATCCATATTAATCTTCACTTGAGAAAAACTTAGTGCTCAAATTCCAATGTTAAGATTAGATTTATCAATTAGTAACTTTAGAGTGCATTTTTAAAGTCCAGTGTTTGAACACAATTTGGCAGGAATAGTGTTGATTAATATCTCCGGCAGACCTCTAAGCATCAGAATCCTGCCCAAATGCCACTGGATGCCTTTGTGCTTAGATACACATCAGGCAGGTCAGCTCTAACAGGTGTCAGGCCAGCTACCGTACCCGCCACTCCTCCAATTATATGCACAGACACAGACACAGACACACACACACCCGTTCCTCCCAGCCACACCAACTGCAACGCTATCAGTCCAGCCACTTGGGCCAAAATCTCTGGGCACCCTTGGTGTCCCATTTACATCTTATTTTCAGTCTCCTGGGCATTGATCTCAGCTCAGGCTTCAAAACACATCCGGAATCCAGCCCTTATCACCGTCTCCACGACCACCACCCTGGCCCGTTTCCTGCCTGAATTAAGGTCATCTACTTGCCTTCTGATTTGCGCCCTCACATTTCATGTGTTCATCGGGAGACAGAGCAGCCCGTTTGAGTAGTCTGCTCGGAACTTCCTCTCTCACACTGACGCAGGGGAGCCCTCATGCTTTCCCGGCCTAGCCACTCACACGCACACCCTCAGCCCCCCAATGTTGCTTCCCCCTGCCTCTATGCACCTCCAGTTGCCTCTTACTTTCATGAGAACGCAACCCAGGTGCTCCCCCTCAGTGCCCTCCTCCAGGCAGCTGCACGGGTGACTTCCAGCTTCCTCTGGGGCCCTACTCACATGTCAACGTCTATATAAAGTTCCACCTCCTTATGCCCATTCTCTCACACTCCCCTGACTCCTTTCTCTGCTTTACGTCTGTCCACAGCACTTATCACGGTGTGACAGACTCTATCTGATTCACTGTAAGTTCCGTGAGGACAAAGAAGTCCATCTGCTGTTGTTCCCACTGCTTCCCTAGCGCCCACAACGGTGCCTGGCATGAATAATAAGCACCCAGGGTGCGATCAACGGAGAATACACTTTTTCACTTCGCAGATATCTCCCCGGCCGGAGTGACAGGCCCTTTGTATTTTAGCCCTGTTGATGCCATTTACCTTTCTCCTCCACTCCTTTGGGATCCCTGTTGACAGCCTGGCAACTGCCTTGAGAGCGTCGTACCACTAGGACCAGAGAGAAGGATTAGTAAAGTAATAAGACGGACCTGAAGCAGCACTTTTCAGGCTTCTTCCATCTTGGCATCTGTGATGGCTAGTTTTATGTCAATGTGACACAAGCTAGAATCACTGGAGAGGAGGGAGCCTCAACTGAGAAAAATGTCCCCAGTATCTGATTGTGGGCAAGTCTACAGGGCATCTTCTTGATTAGTGATCAGTGGGGGAGGGCAGAGCCCACTGTGGGTGGTGCCATCCCTGGGATGTGGTCCTGGGTTCTATAAGAAAGCAGGCAGGGCAGGCTATGGGGAGCAGGCCAGTAATCTACACTCCTCCACGGCCTCTGCGTCGGCTCCTGCCTCCAGGTTCCTACCCTGCTTGAGCTCCCGTCCTGACTTCCTTTGGGGCTGAACAGTGCTGTGGCAGTATAAGCTGAATAAACTTGTTCCTCCCCAAGTTGCTAATCCTAAGTAATAACTTTCCCTAAGATAGCATCCATAGTATGTGAGAAAAGTGACAGAGCACACTGGAGTTCCCAGGGCTTGTCTCCCCAGAAGTTGTCATTCGGGGGGCTGTAAGAATCCCAAGCCTTACATATCTTAACTAAGCATGCTTATTACCCATTTGACTCCAGTAATTGGGGAGAGCTGGATCAAAAGGCCACAACTACTGTGAGTCAAAGATAACAGATCTGTGAGGTTTTAGATTCATTCACACGTGTGGTTTCTAAAGTGAATTTGTAACCATGTTCACCTCAACTTACTCACTTTTTAAATAAAGCATCAATGTATAAAAGTGTGAATTTTTCATTGCAAGTATAAAACCATATTACTTATGCTTTAAAAGTTTACAAAAAAATCTGACATCTCTTGTGTATCAAAACATACGTGAATATTTTCATTTTAAGAATATATGACAGTGTGCCTTGCTGATGCCCCCAAATTTATAAAAAAAAAAAAAAAAAAAAAAAAAGGCAAAAACAAAGTTACCTGCTGAAAACCATTCTGGCCTAAGGATGGCTCAAGTGTGAACTTCAATTTTGTATCAACTCCTAAAAGAAAATTAAGTAGTGGGTTATTTATGGGGGTTATAAAAAAGTTATATTATAAATAAATCAACATTTGTCTCTACTGAATTATGGCAAAAAAAATAACTTTTTTTAAAAATAAAATTTAGCCAATTTCGTTAAAATTAAGACACATTGACTATTAAAAAGAAAAATGACCTAAGGCAATAAAGCGGAATTTTAACCATTGGACAGAAGCCTCCTCAGATGCCGAGAGTAATGCAAAAACAAGAAGAGTCAGTGACACATAGGCTAGAGCCCTGACCTCCAGTATCTCTGGGTCCTAACTCACACTGCCTAGCCTGTCTGTACCGCAGCTCCCTTATCTCTAAGGTGAGGACAGCAACCTCTACCTCAGAGGACTGTTTCAGTGATTGGCTGTAAACCACCTCACCTGAGTAATTGACAGTTATAACACACAGAAGAGGAGTCCTCCTCTTACAGTTTGTTTTTCTGCAACACTTGCATAGACTTAGACAGTGAAGAAAACTTCAAGGGCTGGAGCTGAGGCCTGGCAGAGATCAACTATCTAGCATGTATGAGGCCTTGGGTTCCATTTCCGATGCAGGGGTTGAAGGTACATCGTCATTGGCACTCTGACTGTAGCAAGGGAGGCAGAGCTAGCTCCTGGTGTGTGCAAAGTGAGTTAGAGTCCCAGCTGCACAAAATCAGACTCTGTCTGAACCCCTTCTTTCTGTCTGCTTTGATTTGGAGATGCTAGGCAAACAAACCTGTAGCCAGTACAGCCGAGCAAGTACTCAGCCCCTGAACTACACTCACCACACCTCTTCCTGCTTATGGGATGATTTTTTATAACCACTCCTTTTGATGGCTGCCAAATATTTTAATTCTGTCTTAATATACCCACTCATTGATGATGAAAGTATATTAAATTCTGCCTAGAAAACTAAAGCTAGAACTGAATTCTAATCCTAAGTAATCTACTACTTTAATTTTCTTTGATTTAGATCCCAAATCTATGCATCAGACGTGCATAGATAATAAAAATGCATTTTTATTACTTGTCTTTAGCCTTTGCTCACAATTCTATAATAGAATCCTGTGTGTTGTTATTACAGAGAAATTCCATTACAACTCTTATTACTGTTTAAATTATATAAAAAATAATTAAATCTGAAAATATGATACGTTCTTTTTCTACAGTTTCAAAATAATTTGATAGCATTGTTTGGTTTTTTTAAGACAAAGTCTCATTATTTCACCCCTAATGGCCTGATACTCTCAGTTTGCATCTGCCTGTCTTTGCTTCCTGTATCTGCTAAGTATTGAGCTTACAGGCAACCATCATGCCCAACTTTAAGCTGTGTGTGTATGTGCGTGTGCGTATGAACTCAAGTGAGTATGTCCGAATGTGTATGTGTGTGCAAGTAAGCATGACACTGACTGTCTTCCTCAATTGCTCTATACCTTGTATCTGTTGACAAGTCTCTCACTGGGGAGCTTACTCATGCTGCTAGGGTAATCAATGAACTCCAGTGATGTGGACCCATCCTGCACACACACACACCCTGAACACACACACACACACACACACACACACACACACACACACACACCAATGCTGGTGCTACTGGCTTGCACTGTACAGCTTTTATGTAGGTTCTCAGCATGCAAACTCGGGTCTTCATGCTTGCATAGCAAGCACTTTGCCAACAAGCCATCTCCACAGCCCCTTTAGCCAATTTAAGAAAGATTGCTTGAAAGTCCAAGGGCCAAGAAAGGTCAAGCCTTCTCAATAACATTCAGAAAAATCAGACGATGACGTTGTCACCGCTAAGAAGTAGACTGCAGATTCCCATATTAAAAACCTCCCAACTCCCCCCACTTAGATATTGACATGGATAGGAACACTTTGAGACTGGCATGTGTAGGAATAATCCTCAGGACTTTAAAAAAAATAAAATAAACTGGCCTTTTCAAAGACATAAATAGGGATCCAGAAGCAGGAAGGACATGTCTGGATTGCCCAGGCCCATGACTGTAAGCAGATAGGTGCTGGTGAGGTTGTGATTGTTGCTCCTGCTGTTGGTAGACGTGGAGAGCCCTGCACACATGTTCTGGATACAGGTACTGACACATAGATTTCCTATGTCAAGAACCCAGGGCATCCGACATCTCAAAGCTTTAAAGACAAAGTCATGCTATACCTGGGTAGATGATTTTTTTTTCCTCCAGGAGAATATTAACTACCTGCTGGTTTCAATGAACTCCTGCCTCGTTGTGGGATCAATACTGCCACCAGCTCCAAGCAATGACATGGACTTTGTAGAGTGCTGTCCAGGCCTGGGGTGCTGAATGCAAGGGCTTATAATTATGATTCTTGCTTTATTACAACAAAAACCAGGAAATTCATCCCTACGGTGACTTTGCCACTTCCCCAGAACCACTGGATTCCCAGTATGTTTGACCAAATTACGTTCCTTTGACTTTTGGTGGCCACCTGCTGGGCGTAAACCAGCTGCTTTCCAGTGTTGAAAAAGGCAACTGGAGTTAGTTAGCGAAAACCACAACTGTTTTTCTAATGATCAAAAACGACCCAGGTCTCAAGTGAAACTGATCATTCGCCACCGGCACGCAAAGGCTTAAATCGGGTCATTTTCGCTCTTTTCTTCCAAGGGAAATGAGAGGAGAGGAGGCTTATGTTTCATCTGATAATCACAGCTGTTCTGGATTCAGAAATACAAAACACTATTTAACGTGGGAAGGAGATTTAAAAGAAAGGGGGGAGAGTTAAAAGAAGACGGTGAATAAATACTACAGTCTCGGCAATTAGACACTTGGTGGTGGGGAGAAAAACAAAGAGTCCATGAGGTTCGGAAGGGCAGCGACGCTTTCCACCTCCGGGACCCAATGACACCAGGTCCCAGAAGGAGTGAGGAGCGGGGAAAGGAGGGTACTGTGTAGATCACAAACTGCCTGTGGGCTGGCTGGGGCCACTCCAGGGAAAGGTGAGTGCTGAGCTTAAGCAAATAGAGCTGCGCAGCCAACCCCTTGCCAGAACCCTCAGCGCTCAGGCGCCGGTGCCAGGGCCAGGCTCTTAAAACCCTGAGCAACGATGCCAGGTGACCAAGCTCGCGTGGAGATAGGCAGAGCCTGGAGAGGCAGATGATAGGGAAGGGCCTGTCTTCGCAAGGCCAGGAGGGCTCCTGGACCTTACCTACAAAAGGAGCTCATACCCTCTCCCACCCCAACACAAACACACTACAGGGACCCTCGGGGGAAAGGAGACCTCTTCACCTCTTCACCTCTTCACCTCTTCACCTCATTCGCAGTAGGTACCTTTCCCTCCGACCTGCAGCGTCAAGGCTGTGCTTCAGCCAACCCACACACCTCTTTTGGAGGTCTGACTCCCAGGGAACCAGGAGCACAATAGGTGACGCGGCCTGGGCCGGCTGGGGCAGCCTCCCTCACTCCCCCACCGTGCAAGGACGCCAAACACATAGGCCGCGGGGTAGCTTCTGCGGGCCGGCGGGTTCTCCGTGCCCTGGTGGCCGCCGAACGCACGCAGGCCGGGGGTCTGTTCCCATCCCTCCCAGGCCAACGGTGCTCCTCCGCAGACATCTCAACCCCAGCGCCCATCCGCAGCCCGCGCCTCACCCGGCTCCAAGGTGCAGAGCAACCGGGGCGCGGTCCGCGAGATGCAGCTGCGCTTCTTGAGCACATTGCTCAGGATGGTGCCCACGCCGCCGCCGCCGCCGCCGCCGCCGCCCTGGCGCTTCAGGCATCGCCCGCCACGACGCAGGGAGCCGGTCAGCTTGTCCTGCCGCATCCGAGAGAGAGCACCGTCGGCCGCCCCGGTCCTCGCTGCTGCGTCGGAACCTCTGCGCTCGCAGGACTCGGGGAGCTCAAGCCGGCCAGGCTCCCTGGAGAGCCGCGAGCGAGCAGCCGGAGCTCCGGAGCCGAGAGGATCAGAGAGACGCGGCGGGAGCAGCGGAGCTCGGGGAGGGCGGCTGGCATCTGCAGTGCGGAGCCCAAACGGCTGAGACCGGAGCGGGCTGGGGCGGGGAGGAGGGCGGGGAGGAGGGCGGGAGCGAGCGCGCGGGCGCGCAGAGAAGGAGGCGGCGCCTTGGCACCCAATCCAGGCATGAGCCTGAGCAGGCCAACACGGTCTGGAGCCAGCTCCGAGGACAGAACCCAGAAACAAGGCAGGGGTGTCCCCACTTCCCCTAAGCCTGGAAAGGCTGGAGGGGCCGCAAGTGCAGACAGCTGCAAGTGCCCATCTGATCTGGGCAGCCCAGGGGACACAGGGAGAAGCAGACCCCGGGGCAGAGAAGGCGGCAAATGGTGACCTCAACCTTCAGCCCAAATTGTGTTCATGTCTTTCCTGGCCGCTTAGAGAGGTAAAGATCCATGTTTAATAACAACAACAAAACCAATATCGTTCCTCTTGGGAAAACAGGACCTCAAGAAAATGTTCCCATTGAAGAAGCAGTTTTCAAAAGAAGTGTTTCCGGGGGTGTGGCGAGGCCAGGTTCTTAATTAAGAAGTGTCTGCCAGACACTTCAAGACTCAGGAGAGTCTTGAAAGAGTGTAGTTCTGAGTCAAGGCTTTAGGAGGTGGCCTGGAGAGACAGAATAACTAGAGCAGGACTGGCATCTGCTGGAGGTGGGGGCTCACCCAGACCGTTGAAGGATGATGGCCAGGTCCTCACAAGTCCCGACCCGCCTGAGGCTATCAGTATAGGCGCTCCACCCCCCATAAAGCTGATGCTGGAGCTGCTTCAAGCTAGCAAGCCTACGGAGGCAGACACCCAGGACGTGAGCGCTGCCCACCTGGATGTGGCCCTGCTCACCGGCCGCCGTGCAGCAGCCCTCGCCCAGCTCTGCACTTTTTATTCTTCAGTCGAGGGTTGGGGATAGGGGTCTCTCCCTAAGTTGCCCTGACTGGCCTTGAACTTGTGATCTTCCTGACTCAGCCTCCTGAATAGCTGGTCAGGCCTGGCTTGATTGATATTTTTTTTCTTCTGCCTATATTTCATGTAAAAATAAAATCATACAATAGTCAGATATGGGGGTGTAAGAAAACCTCCCCCAAACCTGTCTTTATGGAATCTTCGATATGTCCCTTTTCTTGTTGCATTCTTTGAATCTCAGCTTTCAAATCTTCCAGAGCTCCAGATAACAGCAAAGTTTGGCTTCATAACAATTTGCAAGCAATCCAGACACAAACTTCTTCCCTAGACACCACATCTTTCCTCTGCCCAAGATCACAGAAGGCCCTCCCAGACTCTTCAGCAAAGTTCTCTGGGAGTACTGGTCAACCAGCTAACCTACATAAACATCCGGTCTTGATCTAACAATTCACCAGCAGAAGGATATTTCCGTTCCTCCGCACATGGGACAAACTGCAAATCACTTCATCTTCTCTTCCTATGGAAATTTCAATGGCTTCCTGCAGCTCCTGGAAGTCACTGATCTGCTCCAGAGCCGCCTTACAGGGCAGTATGTTCTCATTTCCACGTGGTATCAAGTCAACACTTACTTAGTTACGATATAATGTTTGTCCTAAGGCCTGAACTCCAGAGACTGAGTTCATTTTTCCATCTGGATGTTTTCATCAGGAACAAGACAATGGCCCGCAATTATTTCCACAATGATTTCTTCAACTTTCAGGCCATCCGGGGCTACACAGTGAGACCCTATCTAAAAATAAAAGACAAAGAGAAGAAAGTCGTTTCTTAGCAACCCTTGGAGATATAACTTGAGAGTCACCAAAATAGAATATATGTCTAATGTTAAGGCACTTAATTGTGACTCTCCTGTGAGAAGCCCATCCACACTTGAGTGTGTCTTATTCTTTTCCTGAGCCTGACTGACTCTCCCGCTTCTCTCTCTCTCCCTTTAAGCTTATTTACAAACTTTTACTCTCCTTTGACAAGCCTACATCCATACTCTTGGTGTGTGATACATAAGTCCTAAATGTCCCTCCTCCTAACCTTTCTGTTGAAAATCTGTATTAAAATCTCTTTTAATAAACTGTATCTCTGCTTCAAAAAACCAAAAGGTGTTTCGCCATCTCTCCACACCTTTGATGTTCCTGAACTAGCGCTCATCATTGTTGCTATTAGAAAAGAAAAAGTGTTTCCTTTTTTTCCCATATTTACCTTCAAAAAGCAGGAAAATGGGAGCATAAAGATTTTTGTATTTGGTAATTCTTGGGGGGGCGGCACTGATTTTTTTTTTTTCAAAAGAACTTCTTTTTTTAATTAGGAACTCAATCCATTTGGTGTATTTCAAAAGGTGCAATACTTTTTTTTCATTTATCAATGAGATTAATTAGAACTCCCCCCCTCCAGATCAGCAAATGGCAAACAAATACCCTTGAAAGTCACAGTCACATATAGAGTGCATCCTAGAAAGAGGGGCAAGATGGCTTCTACCACCGTCACGAGTTTCCTCAAAGACTGGATCCACTTAGGGGTGGAGAGAAAAGGCAACTTTCAAGAGGGAGTACGTTATTACACTTCTACACTCCTTCCTGAGAGCACCAGGTGGGGACATATTTGCTAAACTAGACCTACGGAGTGGAATGTGGAAATAACCTGTCTTCCTCCCCCACAGGCTGTCCTCTGGTTAACAGATTTTTAAAAACAAGACTAAGAAACAACCCCACATACATCCCAAAAGGAGAGAAGGGTTGGGGAAACAAAACAAAAGACACTAAGATACCCCAGGTTACCCTCCAAAATGGAAGCAGGGAGCAGCTTCCTGCTGCAGTCATCACAAGCATGCCTTGCTTTTAAACAAAACATATGTGGGGATTTGTTGTTGTTGTTGTTGTTGTTTTAAACAAGGAAACAAAAAAACCAACTCATCACTTTTCAGACAATACACAATTATTCAGAATTAACTATTCGGAAGGGCAGGGGCCACACCAATGGGCCTTGTTCCACATGAGCGCATGCAGGTAGACGCAGGGCGTTTGTCATTACTGCAGGAACAAATTTTAATTTTTAATCTTTAGTTTGATTTAAACATTGCTTTTAGTATGATGACAACAGCAGCTGTGCAGAAAGAGCTCCGGAGAGCAGTTCATAGCAGCACACACCTGCGGCTCTTCTTGGGCTCTGGAGACTCCAGAGCAGCCAATATTGCTTCATAAAACACATTGTTTAGGCTTTTCCGTGTGAGCGGAGCACACCACATATTGACAGCCTTCAGATCCCACGCCAGCTTTTCAGCAGACTCTGGAGTGATAGGCTTCTGTTTGTTCTTGGCAAGTTTCTCAATAGTAGAGGGCTCATCTCTGAGATCAACTTGGGACCCAACAAGCAAGAAAGGAGTCTTTGGACAGTGGTGAGTTATCTCAGGCACCTACTTTTCTTTCACATTTTCGAATGAGGATGGAGAGACCACTGAAAAACACACTAGAAAAACAGGTTTGTGGATAACCTAGCAGTCATAGTCTATCATTATCCTCTTGCCCTGCAGTATCAAAAAGTCCAAGAGTATATGGCTTCCTACCAATCATAACTGTGACTGCACAGCTGTCAAAAACCGTTGGTACATGTTCTGATGGAAATTAGTTTGTCGTGTAGCATGTCAGGAGACAAGTTTCACCAATAGCACCATCACCAACAACAACATACTTAATGGTCCGCATTGCGGAAATAGTTTTGTATCCACTTTTAATATTTCAAATTATATGTTGACCTCAGCTTCTCCGACAGGGCAGAACGCTGAATTTTTAAAACTATGAGAGAAGAGGCTAGGGAGAGACCCTGCCTCAAAAAATAAGGTGGATGGAGCCTGAGGAAGAACAGCACCGGAAACTGTCTTCTGACTGTCCATATACACCTGTACACACACACACACACACACACACACACACACACACACACACACAGAAAGGAACAGTGTGGACACAAGAATGGAACACAGAGACGTCTCTAGATCTACCTTAAAAGTTTTGACTTTGAGACAATGTTTATTAAATGCTAACAAATTTAAGTTCTTAAATGAAACTACGTAAATGAATGAAAACAAGTGAACCTAACTGAATATGCCAATTATAGGATAAAAACACAAGAAAAAAAATGCTTGTACTTATACAGAGATATATAGTAAAAGAAAAAATAGAGCTAAAAAAAAGTCTCAATTCTACTCAGTAGTTAGCAATATTGGTGTCTTAACTCATGTGCTTGACGAGAAGGCAAATAACATCAAATGGAGCCAGTATTACATATAATTACATAAAAAGAAATTGATTTTCTTTAAAATATTATAGAATGTTTACTTTTTTTATTTTGAGACAGGTGCTCCTTATATAGCCCAGGCTAGCCCTAAGCTTGCTATCCCCCTCCTTCAGCCTCCTGACACTTGACCTATTTTTAGAAATGGAAACACTGGTATAAACGAACTTTTTTCCTCAAATATCAATTTGCCTGCTGGATCTAAACTGAAGGGCAGCCGACTCCGCAGTAACAAACATCCCAGCATCCAGGTTACCAGCTCCAAAACCTACTCCCCACTAACAGGAACAATGGTTTCCTTGAAAAAAATGACCAACTTGGGCCTGAGCCAGAAATGGCTCACATGAGTCTATAGCATCTTGATTGCCCTTGGGGTGAAAGGGGGTCGCATCACCAGTGCACAAAGGCCATACAAACAGGATCCTCCGGCAAACATGAAGCAACTTCTGGATTTAACTGAAGAAACACTGAACATCTTTTAAGTGCTTCGGTAATGCTACTCTGAATAAGTCAGGGAAAGGAGCCATCCCTGTGACTCCAAAACACCTATAGTCCACACGTCATGGGCTTTGTGAAGAACCTCTAGATTTGAAGATACTGTCCAAAATGGTGTAGCTCAAAATGAAATCTATAGAACTCTGTTAACATGAGGTTAGCTGCTAAATCAAGCCTGGCTGACGTGACATGTGACCTCTGTGGTTTCGGTGCCTCACTAACGTCTTTGCTTTGAACAGGGGAGGACTCTCAAAAAGTGCTGCTTTATGCCAGGTGGTGGTGGCACACATCTTTTATCCCAACACTTGAGAAGCAGAGCTCCATGGATCTCTGAGTTCAAGGCCAGCCTGCTCGACAGGGTGAGTTCCAGGACATCCAGGACTACAGAGAGAAACCCTGTCACGAGATTAAAAAAAAAAAAGAAGAAAAGAAAAGAAAAGGTGTAGCTTTATAAAATGAGGTCAGGTGTCCTCTAGATTTACCTCAGATTTCCCAACCTTCAGCAAGCTCAGGTGCAGTACTCTACCCTTCAGTGGCCTGGTG